TGTACGGAGCGGAATATTGGCCAATAAAGAATACACATTTACCATATCTTCATACCGCGATGATCTGGTGAGTCCGCGATAGTTTTAAACTGGGCCCAAGAACTTACAAACTAACCGAAAACCGTCGCATGATGTATATGGCCAAAAAAGCCTAAAAACTCAGAACTTAATAAAGGTAGATAGCGTGCTCCAAATACCTGATGGACCAGCATGGGAAATCGCTACGGAAAAATTGCTCAGAAAGCCAGGGCAGATTGTTCTGGCGCCGCAAAATGAAGAGAATCAACCCCACATAAGTAGTATAGTAAAGTAGAACTTTAGTACAACTTGAAAAAGAAAAATTAATACAGGGTCGTCTGGTTGAACATTTTGTCATATACCATATAGTTTCTTTCTTCTTTAAAAATTATTACAAAAATGGTTCTTGCCTAACAATACTCTTATTTTCTCAGAAAACACATCAGAACTCCAATCTAAATTGAAAATAAAACATTATTTTATCTTGTATAAATTATGCAAAAGATCACTCAATGTACAATAAATATAAAAATGGTATACTAGTAATTTTATACTAAAGCTCTTTGTGTGATGCAAAGGCAAATCTATTCTGAAAGACCTTTGAGGCGTTCGTATCGAATTATCTCTAGTACTACCAACAAAGGTGGGCATTTGCCCCTGTTGTCTTCTAATGTTATCCGAGCCAGCTACAGTGAATATCGTTGTAGAAGCTTCCTGTATAGTATAATTAAGATCAATCTACAAGTTATAATAAAGATTATTCGTCATTCATTTATATTATTATTATATGTAAATGATATTCGATAAATTATTAATAAAAACTAATTGATTTGCAAATGCAACCGCAGGCCTGTGTTAATTTTATGGTTGCAAGGTGTTTGACACCTTACTAAAGCATTATAAAAAGCGCAAATCACATCAATTCCACCCCTCGTTCAACAACTATTTTATAAGCTACTCTTAACCTTCACATGCCTCAACAGAGCCTACATATGTTTGAGACAGTACAATAAGTACATACATATAAAATTCCTATTAGACGATCGAATTTCTACGGTCACATCTTATAATATTAAAATTACATGTAGTTTACGTTTCTATTGAGAACACAGATCATTTAAACACAAGTACATACATTCATTTAATAATATTATTGTAGTACAAAAAATCACGTAATATCATAAAGGTAATAGACACCTAATACCTACAATTTGCTTTTATAGTATTTATCTAGTGTAAGGAAAATCATTAATAAATGATTAATATCATAGTATGCCCTTCTAAGTATTTGAATCGCAATGTTGTAAATGTTTTGACAAAAAAAAAATAAGATAAGATTTACATGCTTAACTTAACTATAATGAGTTGTACTTGTATACAACAGCTCAACACCATAAAAGCACAACAGTAACTAACACATTAAAAGCTCAGAAGCATCGAATAAAGCTCCAAGATATACTTCTGTCGGGTAAATCCCAACTCAATCAGACAGACTGAAAACTATGGGTCATTTAGAAAAACATATAGCATAACGCGAGCACAGGCATTAATATTAACAAATAATAATGAAAATTAAATACGTTACAAATATAAATAAACTAGTAGCGAGACCAAATAACTGATCTACCAAAATGACTGATTAATTAACACAAATATTTGTTAAATTCCGCATAACACAAACCCATAGTCAAGATCGTTTAATAGTGGAATAGCAATTCAACATGTGCGAAGTGATATGACTGCTCTGTTTTATAATTTGTTACGTCTTAAAGTTAATCATTTACCCTTATATTGTGAATACAATTTCGCCTTAGCTTGGTGCAGAAACGACATAAATACAAATAACTTGAATGCAGGTAATACTTTAGTTATTACATATAACTTATACATCGACTTATTTAGCATCACTTTCGTTGTTTTCTTTAAATGTCTATCCGAGTTATAATGTCTTACATTATTTTATTACGCCTTCAGTGATCTTCTAGAACATAATGAAATTGTGTCATTTTGCGAATAAATTTAATAATATATAGGATTATTTGTGACTAAGACAATGTGATGTGAGATTTATTTCCTTTTTTCCCAACAATTTAATTTCTATGTCTATGAATACATAGATTTGCTTACGTCTATGACTGTATGACTGAATATAAAACCTTATTCTATAATAAAGAAATTCAATATGTACTTATGTACTTATAAGTCGTTATTATCGAAGAGGTCGGTGAACTTAAAAATACTTTTAATATTGCTAATTCTAAGGCAAACTTTTGTCGTTTTTTTTTCTTAATACGAAATTTTGTTTTGAATTTTAATCAGATTATATTCGAGAGTCATATTCAGTTGTATACAGGAGATACTGCGAGAAACGACAGGCAAAGTTTGATGACGGTAATAACGAGTACGACGCTAGTCCCTCGAGTCAATTAAAAAGTTGCAAGGTGCATTCAAAGACTAAGTCTTAGATACTTCGTACTGTTTTCCTAGCTAGGTGTTTATTTAATAAATATTTTACCTAGTTTATGTACTTCTATTAAACATCATAGATTTCGTTCTGATTTGGACATATACATTCCTAATTATAAATCTTATAAAGTGTTTTGTATAAACTGTAGAATGTTGTATATGATCTAATAAATTTCTTGCATTAAAAAAATAGCATTGTTTTTGAAATTCAATGTTAATCGTGAGTTTAACAAAAAATAAAGAATTACTTTAATTATAATTTCGAAATAAGATTAATAACAATTGAAATAACATTAATATTAACACTTTTGAATACACATTTTTTTAAATCTAAATCCAATACAGCCTAGGCCCATTCTTGTCCATACAGACTTGTATATATGGGAAAGAAACTTGTCTGTTCACTTTAAAATAAATTTTGTACAAATTTACATTTCATTGATTTTACGTGAATACAAACCACCATCGAGCCCAAATTGAGTCAAAATTTAAATTATATACTTTACTTTAGTAACAACATACATTAGTCACAGTGATCAAAGCAGCCCCAACCGCGGCCCAGTATAAACAATTCATGAAGCCATTCAAGCTACATAGTAGGCCAAAGCAATATACATATGTATATTATCGTATTTTATGTGATAAACGTTCAACATACAAACTCTATTTTATTTTATTACTAGCGACCCGTCCAGGTTTCGCACGGATGTATCAAAAATCTTTGAATTTATCGGCTTGTTCTATACTATAACACGCATGTATTATATATAAACCTTTCTCTTGAATCACTGTATCTATTACTGAAAACTGCATTAAAATCTGTTACTTAATTGAAAAGATATAATCGAAGAGACAGTGGCTTAAAATGAAGTATGTATTCAAAATAATGGTAATATACATAGTTTTAGATATTAACTTTAGTAATTCTTTATTGTTTTAAACTTTTCCGTAACTGCTGTGAAACACCGAATAAATAGTTTTCTATATTGTATTTAGTCTTAGGTAGATAGAGGGGGTATTATCTATCGCTCCAGGAAGTGATATGTAGTAATGTTGTACCATACAGTGTACATTTTAGAATTTACGAACGTATCGTATTATTTATTATTAATTTAAAATTACTTGTCATGATTACGCATAAAAAAATTACACTCTAATGGTACAAAAAGTAATATGACATTATTATGTCAATAATGTATATAATTGTACTGCATAACTTACCTAGGTTATACTAATAAATATTTCCATAACTAGTTTTTATGTATCTTTGATGTTTAATTAACTTAGATTGAAATCAGAATTAATATGTTTTCTATAACGAAACTACAAAGAAAACATGTTTATAACAAAAAATATCGGTGGATAAACTATAAATACTAAAATATATTGTATTATAGGTATATATGAGGAGTAAGCGTTTGTTCTTAAAAACTAATAGTGTAATATCCCACTGCTCGTTTCTGCAGCAATCAGACTTTTTAATGACCTGACTGGGTTTAAGATATTATCGCTAACTTTTCTATTAAGAGCGTTATGCTGGATTCTCGAACTTCCGCATTGCACGTCAACTTACAAAGTCAATTAGTAAAGTGCACTTGTAGAGAAACTTAACTCTAGATCAAGGTGCACATAAATTTTATAAGAAAATTTCTGCTACACTTCGAACTTTGCTGATGTAGTTTACAAATACTTTCTTGCTAGAATATTGAATAATTCAGTTAAGCATTAATGAGATCCTTATAGTATTATTAACGTTAGTCGGAGTAAGAGTACGTTTAAAATATTTTTTAAACGACAAATTATTGTTTTTAACAATGCAGATAATGCAAAATTATTGTCACCTACTAGTGATTTCGGTATAATATTTCTTAATAGTAAAATTAGAACGAACGCGTAACTAAAATATAGTACAATGCAGCCATAACATTATTTTGTATTTTATTTTTTCATAATTTAAATATAATATTAATATTATTATGTATATAAAAAAGTCATAATAATGATACAAAATATTGTAGTTTTGATAAATGCATGTCTAGCTTATTTGATGTGTATTTATGAAATAAAAGCTTTCATTTACTCTCGCTTTTACTGCATTTAATCAAGAAATGTATTAAAGAGAAACTGAATTTACCACGTTTTATTTCATTTTTCAATTCCCGGTTCCGGTATTTATTGTGAGCAAGTAACACCGACATATACCGGGAATTCATAAAAATAACACTTAATACGCTGTTGAAATATATCGTCTTACTGTAATGGTCCATGTTAATTTTAAAAGTATCTGAACAATAAATGTAACATTACATATGTTAACAATTAAGTGTAAATTTTGGTTTGGCAAGATTGGTGTATTGTACTATATTTTCGTTAAATATTTATACCCACAAATTTAAAGCAAAATTCAAAATAGTTTACAATACTGTGTAAGTTGTTCAAAATATCACTTTATCAAAATATATATACATATATGTATATATATATACTTAACATAAAAATCCTACGAGGCACACACGTTATTCGAACGACATGAGGTTGGCGGGTAGAGGTTGCACTATTTTGTTTGTAACATTTTCAATTTTTGATACCCACTGCTTGGCTGAAGATTCAGATCCAGTCCTAAAAAACATCATACATGAAGTTCCTCCCAAATTATGTAACAAACATTCTCATTTTGCAAACTTTACTCTTATACATAGTACGTTACGTGACTCATTAAAATTATACACAAATTATTATAACTACTTACTTGAACTTGTACAAAGTGCCGGCGTGATGGTTGATTAGTTGAAAAGCATCAGAGGCATCACCTTCCACCCAACTGGCCATCCAGCCCTCCAAAGAAAGGACCTTGCATCGCTCCGTACGAAAATCACTTCGACTCGTTCTGTATTAAAATTGTTAGTTATCAAAAAAAAAAAATTAATGTACACTCCGTCTTCACAATTAAACATAATTTTTGGACTTAATATGATAGCAGGAATAAGTCTGTAAGTCAAATTATCATAGATTTCAATTTACGATTGAGTCTTTTTTTATGTAACTGGAATGATAGACATACGTGATGATAGAATAGAATAGAATAGAAAATCATTTTATTCAAATAAACTTAATTTAAGCGCTCTTGAATAGTCATAACAATATTTTTTTAATCTACCGCTCATTCGGTACTCGATAAATTTTATACGTAGCCTCTGTACATTAAAAGCACTAACAATAGCTAAATAAACATTTAAATTTAAACTAAGAAGGACGTAATTTCTTGTTTTAGGAATATATAATATAATAATATTTTCTAACAATATATATGTATAAGTCAGTTCCATATATTACTACGAAGGGTAAAAAACTACTACTTATTGGAATTAATAAGCAGTTTTCTTTATCAAGCTTACCCTTTAAATGACTTAGATGCGTAAAATACTAGAATGTTGCCCGATAACTGCAACCAAAATCTCTGCCACGACGAAAGTGATATTTTTCGTCTATCCTTTAAGATAGTCTTTCTTCTCACAAATCCCTGGTAATCACAATCCACATCTTCCGATCTCGATACATTGCTAAAATCACCCACGTAAATAGTTATATATGGTAATTAAATGTTTTAGGTTTCCAGATGATTCTAATAAATGCGAAATGGAACAATTGAATTCTCAGGACGACTCCTACAAAAATATATTATTCCTCCTATAATAATATTGAAGAAACACTATATTATTTTAGACAAATTAATAACATGTATCACAAACAATGACAAATTAATATAATATATCACGTTTCTTAAATTACACATACCTACATATTTTAACATTAAAATAAACAGGATATATTTGTATGTCTTGAGTACAAAATATCAATTCATTATTAAATATTCAAATGTAATATTATTAAATAATATATACCTGTTGGGTAAAATATAAGACAATTTATCACCAGCCACTGATCCTGGAGACTCCAGTAGCGTATCATCTAATAAATTGACAGAGCCAGCTGGTGTTTTTTCATCCATTTTATCATCTGCATGGTTCTTGCCAAAGATACTGAAAAACAAAATTATTTATACACCCTGCTATAACTGCCATAAATATTTGTTTTTTATAATATAATATATACATTCAACAACTTCGACTATTTTTCTATTCATATGAATATAGTAGAATGGAATGTTATTCAGCATTATTACATTTCCTGAACGAAACAATGTACGAAACAACTAGTTTCGATTGGCAGAACTTGTATCAAATTGTATACATTCATTGAGTTCCGAGCTTGTAGCTTCGTAGCCGATGTACATGGAAAATTTCATTTTGTAGCCTATAAAGTTAGTCGGAATACATTTTCCGTTATTCTTTTTGAACAATCAACGCTTTCTTTTTAATGACAATAAATATATTATTCTTTCTCATTTATATACAGGTATTTTTATAAAAGAGAGACCTAGTGTATTTTTATTAGCGACGATTGTGCTCGGAATAAGATATTTTCAGAATTAAAATTTAGTTATATTTTAATAAGTTAAGTTCTGTAGCAATATTTTGATGATATTTTGCTGTATTCTAAATTTCTTCTAAATATATTTATATTATTTACAAATATTACGATGTTATATATATATCTATATTTACTACAATGGTTAAGAGTAACAGGGTCTAGACACGCGGTAGCGTGTCAAGCCGAGTTTTATCTTATTCAAATAAAATTGATGAATAATAATGAAGTATTTAAATATTTCAACTAGCTTATAAAAAAAACTCTGGAATAAAACACTAACTCCATTGAGTTTTTTGTCATTTGTCCTAACGATTACTTGGCCTACAATCATTAACTAGGGTTCGATTCTGAAGTTAGAGGCAAAATTAATACGTGTAAAAGGTTGAATTAAAAACAGTCTTAAAAATAAAATATTTAGTGAAAGTAATTTAGGAGTATGATTTTTTTACAGAAACAATTAAATAGTTACTGTATTATAATTACATTATATATCAAAAAGTTCACTTAATTAACTGGAGTAAAACATTTTTAACGATATTTCATTAATACATGATATATTTTTTATATATTCTATATATAATACGTTTGTATTATAGTCAGCAGTAGCTTTTAAACCCTTACTAATATTTCACAATCCTAGCAAGAGATAGGCAGGCAATATAATATGTTCCCTTATACTTTAGCACACATAAGTAAAAAAGTAGGTCGGGTACGATGTTATATGAACTTAAGTTAGAATAAACATGATTTTATGTGTATTATTACACTTATTATTCTTGTCTTATTAAATAAGATGAGCACTTTCTATAGATATACCAAAATTACATATTAAGTATGCGAAATATAAAAGACAAAATATATTGCTTATAGCGTTACGTAATGACCGTTCAATAGAAATACTTCATACAGAAAATGTGAATCCGCAAGCAAAAGCTAAGTGATAATTGTATGTTACAGTGGTTAGAACATTTTCACTATATTAGTAACTACCTTTATAATTATTTTTTATTAAACATGCCAAAAACAGGCAATTTAAACTAAAAAGCTTTTTGTGCAATTTTTCACATTGCTTTCCATTACTATGTTTAGTGGTATAATAAAATGTTTTTACATAATTATATGAGAATTACCTGTGGTTGCCAGTGTTCTTAAATTATCAATACCACTGAATTATGGTTGTGGTGGCATTACTATCAGGAACATAGAAACATACCATTTATTTCTTACAGTAATGCGAATATTCAACTACTATGGGCTAATGACTACTTTAACTGAACATTATTCATCATTTATACCATTTTTTCTTAAAGAGGGTGGATCAACATTGAAAACCACTGACTTAATCGATAACATACATACTCATAAGAATACTCGGCTGTCCATTTCTAAATATTAATTCCAAATTCCATTAGAACTTTACTTAACATTGTTTCCCCACCTGACGCTCGCATCTCTTACTCCGATTGATGATAACTATTTTTGGAAAATAATATTATCACTCTCATCACACAGGAGGTCCCGGTGTTTACAGTACTTATATAGCCGGAACTATCATATTTTTATCTCCCATACAAAATGTGCTTTCAAATATAATTAAACGTAGTGTAACATTGTGGCAAGAATATAAAAATGCGATAAAATGGCATGCATGCTGGTTAGCGTACGTGAATATTATGTCGTATTAGTCAAGTTTAAATGAATAATATCAGATTAGCACATAGTATGTAAACATTTTAGTACTTTCACGTAACGACGACTGCAAATATTTTTAGATACGGGCCCACTGTGTGGTTAGAAAGGGATGTGTAATCAGCTACACCGTTAGGTACTTGTAACAACTTACAAGTAACGGTGTATTTTATATTATACACTGAACGGGACGGTAAAAAATATTAATACAAAAAACCTGCCCTGCAGTGACTAAAATGTCCTAAATAAATGCCTTTTTAATTTGTTTATTTTTTACATATTTATATAATAATACTAGCTGGTAATACTAGCCCTGGGGGTGAAGGGGATTGTTAGTAATGTGGACTGATGATCCCATTGCTAACAATGTACCATGTCAGGTTGACCTCCACGCGGTTCCCCCTGGAAACCATCGTGATAAATTCCCGGAGAATTTATCACGATGGGCTAACTGACCTGACTTCATGTTCATCTTATCATCCTCCACTGGTGCCCCGCCAGCGTAAACCGTTAGCGCAGATGGGAGCATCATTCCATTATCATTCACTAAAAAAAATACTAGCCCTGGCTTCGCACGGGTGTAAATGTATTATACCTATATATAAACCGTCCTCTAGAAGCACTTTATCTATTTAAAAAAAACCGCTTAAAAATCCGTTGCGTAGTTCTAAAGATTTAAGCATACATAGGTTGTTCAAAAGTTTTATTCAGAACATCCACAAAATTTATACAGTTGAGTTATCAACCCCAAAATGGCATTGAATAAACCTGTTACACACATTACACAACAAATGTTTGGTAGTCGTAAAGGTTGCATCCAGATTAAAGCACAAATTCGCCAAGATTTAAATTTAAAATAATCTTTAAACCCTTCATACAAACTACGCAGTAACGAGATAAAATTTTATTTTAACATTTTCACTTTTCCCGGTTTTATATGTAGTAAATCTGGCTTGGCTTTTACTAACTTTACGACTCTATATAATTTAGAATGCTACTTGCCAGTTACTACCTAGACATGTTGTAGTATAATACGGCTAGGTAGTAACTGGCTTATCTTCTGTTGATGATACCTGCAGTTTTATTGGTACTACTCTTGAAAGACTACTACAGTCTTTGAATAATATAATTATTAGGGAATTATATAAACTAGTGGATGCCTAGTTGTCGAAATTCGACTATAATTAATTTAAATTATAAGTATTAAGGTCCTATTGTCGAAGGCAATGCTTCTATAATCACAGGCACTGACAGTAGCAATAAAAAAAGAGTACATATGCGTGTCAAATACATAGTAGTGAATGTAACGTTGTTTTATATGATCATTATGTATTTTATGCATAATTTATAGAATATTAATATTCTATACTCATCTTTATAAACTGTAAGTGTGCGACATTTTATACTCCGGCCGCGCCATTTGCATAAAACACACAAAAGGGTACTTATTTTTGCTTCACGTATTAATACTACGATTATGTTTTCCAGTATTCTGTGCTACATGGAATCTAGTAATTTAATTTGTCTTGATCTTAACCATTGAAGCATACTAAATTCCCACAAATCGCAAACGATATATTATTATTATTATTTGGATAGCAACTACGTATCAAATTATAATAACAATAAATAAATATAAAAAAAAAATTCCAAATTCAAATTCGCTTCCTAAATAAACAGTTTACTATTTTAATGTTTCTAATTTGCAAAGACAGTAATCAAATGACGCTACTTATAAACAATATCAGTACAATGCCATTTTACTATTTAAATCAGCAAATATTTACCTGAACATTCTAATTAACAAAAAGCATCTATAATAGCAAATAATAAAATCTTGTCAATAATTATCGTAATTAATTTTATAGCCACGTTTTAACACTATTGCGCGATAAAGTGCAATCTATCAAAAAGATAAAACTCCAATACTGTACCTATTATTTGTTTACTATAAATATAAATACGTATAATATATAAATAGCGTATATATTTAATTCATAAAAGAGTTATAATGCTCGATGTTCTACGCATAATTAAGACAAAGCGCAAATTAATTGAAATATAAGAGCATCACTACCGAAACATCGCAGTATACTTTATCTGTCAATAATCAAATACAGTTAAACATTTATATCATGAATATTTCCGATTGGTTATTACAATTAAAGTGAATGATGATAATTATAAACATGTTGTACACAAAATTACCACATTTCATTTTAACAAAATATTTTTAAGTATCGAATTGTACAATTGCTGTAGTAGTTCATAACAAGAGCGTTTTTCTTTTTTTTTTTTACGTAAAGTACTCTTTGTCTAATTGTGTTTGAAAATTAACTAAAATGTAGCTGACGCGAAATTTTAGTAACGAATGCTCTTTTTTTAATAAACCGACGAAATATCTAGTATCATCCTTATCGTTTAAAGAGAGCACTTCAAATTTTAATGGAAAATAATAAATGCAATATCGCATTAGTGTAAAATATTATATATATATATGTGTATACATTTTTAGTCGGAAAAAGGAAATGCTAAGCTGTAAGCTAAGTACAGTAATATATACCTAATAACTAATTCTTTCTGTGTAGTTCTTTTATTTTGTTTTCTTTTTAAGTTATTTTATTTTCAAATTAAAATCGAATTGATATTTTTTACAAAGAATCGGCAACCATATAATACGATACACAAAGACTATGTCTAATAATGTAACAGACGTAACACTACGTAACCTACGCTCACCGACCGACACCGACCTCAATGCCCGTAAAGAATGATAGATGATGACGATGTCACATGAATTGGGCTATACTAACGAATTCATCAGGAATTAATATCCAAATAGTTATAACGATACTTTGTAGAATTTGATATGATAGATGTTATCGCTGACAGTGGGACTAAAAACTCTACTATTTTATGTTATCTTTTAGAGAAAATCGTAAAACAATAATAATTGAAAATTAATCATTTTTAATTATTATTGTTTGTATGCTCACTTTCATGTTGACACTTAAATGGTTATCTAAACGAACACTTTATACGAATAATAAAAGGCCCACGTAATTAGTGATTGAGAATGCAATTTTAAACGTAGTCAATAAAATATGTTGGTATGTATTCGGGAAAGTAAAATAGTTTCCAAAGTGTTAAGAGATTTTGTTAATTGGCAACACTTCTATTCGAAGTACGGTAACCGTAAAAGTTTATTAATGAATCGGCCATTTATTTGGCGAATTCTATAGACTATAATATTCTTGACCTTAAAATAGAACAGCTTATTTTAAGGCCGTGTCTGTTGTTATTACTGTATTTCTATACTAAACCTTTGAACCCTTTTTTCTCGTAACATTTATAGGGTTTCAGGGAATGTTGTCGATTTATAAAAGTCGTTCGTTGCTAAGTGTACTTTTATTTTCTTGCGGCTTAGTATATCCTTTCCGACTAACTCTGTATATATATATGTAAAAATATACCATGCACATACGCAATGTAGGTAGATATTAGATATATAAATTTATAATGCATATGTCTAGAATGCCATTTTGTTTATTATCCGTTGTATTCGCGAACTAGCACAAAACATGCTCATTTAAGACCTATAACACTAATATCTTCAATACTTATCCATATCTACACAATACCACAATACAAGCCATGGTTTCCATGAACCATAATAAATCACTCACCCCACACCAAAATTGACCTTGTGAAAATTTCTCGGCAAGCTCGCACTACGAAACCTATGTACCGATCGCCAAGGAAAAAATTGTACATAAATAAAGTGCTATATAAAAATATAATTACGAATAAAACCTTACAAAACCAAGGAAACATTTTCTAGTACAGTAAATTATTTGACAGGCAGGTATCAGACATTTATAACGTAACAAAAGGCAACATTGCATATTTTATTTCCATTTACGAGGTTGGAATCCTATGTAATATATTTAATTGCACTGTAACCTAACTTATAAAATTTTAAAACTGTTGATTGGATAATATTACACCAAATCAGAACTAAATATTTGACATATATGTATATGTATATATAATATATAATACTGGAATTACGGATAATAATACATATATAAATAATAATATGTAATTCTAGTAATCACTATCATAAGATACTAACATAAATGTCTAGACACAGGAATGCTTATAACCAAAACCACACATATTACTATTTGTATAGTGTTAGTAGTATTTGTGTCTGTATTTAACCATTGTAACATAATACAAAAATGCAGTGAGGCATCAAACAGAAAAATTTAAAATATGATATTGAACTAAACTTCAGGAGAAAAATGAGATAGTAGCACTTGCACTTGGTGTAAGTATTAGAAAAAATACTATATTAATAGCATTATTGCTCAATTGCTCATGTTATAAAAAATAATAATACAAAAACAACAGCGATTAACATACTTGGATCCCAGTGAACGACATTTTCGGTGCGTCGGTATAAACTTGGACTGATTAAATGATCCTTGGAGTCGTAAGGACCCAGATCCAAGTCGATGTGAAGGTGAAAGAGAATAAGGTGTGGACGATCCTGGCGGTAGAATTTCTTTCACAGATTCTTTTGATCCTGAACAACTACCAATAGGCGATGGAGGTTCGAGTTTTAATGACAATCTGAAACAACAAATGTCAGAAACTAAAATCTCATCACAGAACGATTGTAAATAAAATTTACATTAACCTCTATTCTAGTTTAATGAAACAATAATAATAATAATATTTAATATAGTAATATTATTCTTAATAGTTGTATTGAAATTTCAATGAAATAGGAATGGTGAAAGAAATGTTTTTTAATACTTAAAATTTACTTTGAAACAAACTACAATAGGTTGTACTACTAACTCGGCCATTTTACACAAGTGATTCTTGCTCTGTACAATTTTATTATATTAAATGTCTAAATAAGTAAAACATCGAGTTTCACTAAAGAAATTCCAATCTTGTGCTAAAACAAGAAAATTGGAAAATAATTCTGATATCTAGCCATATGTCAGTACATATGGCTAGATATCAGAATTATTTATTATATTTTATAGAAAGCGAAACATAGAACCGTTATTTAATTACTGTATTATACTACATAAATACATTTACGGTAAAGCTATCCATCATGTGAAAACTTTGTCAAAACGGATATCCTAACACCTATAAGTATTCAAACAAAAACAATCAAAGTAGCTACTAAAATAATAATTATTAAACATTATTTTATTGCTTTTAATTTCAATATTTCTTTAACTATGGTGTAATAATTGAATATTACACAATAAACTTACTTGTATTGATCATCTTCAAGAAATTTCTGTAGTTCTTCTATGTAACGAACACTGTTTAAATAATTGGCTACATGTGTTAAAGGTGCAATTTCATACTCTGATTGCTGATATCTTTCTAGAGCTTTCAACACTACAGCCATTTTAGCAATCCGATGAGGAGATCCAACTGGATGTGCAATCGATATATAAACTAGATCTGTCAGAAAAATACCTGAAAATTTCAAACACATTACAAATGCAACTATGATAAACTTTTCATTCAGTCTTTAATACTTAAAGTAAAAAAAAATACATAAAAAGTTTAACATGCCAGATGAATGGAACAATGATGAATCTAGAAATAGGAGGGAAATGACAACTAAACAAGTAAGTCTATGAAAGTCATCTCTTTCAAGTGAAAGTCATCTTTCATTCCAATAAACTTTTGGTTCATATATTTGGTTAGTAGATTAACTACTGCTACTAGTAATTAAATATTTTTGAGTCCTATGCAAACATAGAATATTTTCGATTACAACATGCACTTGGGTAATAATATACTTTCATAAAATTATAATTTAATTGTACAAATATCGCTTACCAAGATAGGGTATGCAAGGCAATGATATTGATTTTAAATATTCTCTCAAGGCAGTCCAATTATCCTTTTCGCCAAATAATTCTGCAAGCTTGTCAAACTGTTGTTTATCTTTTTTAGACAAGCAAGCCCACGTTTTTGTGAGTCTGTGCAAAGAGACATAATTAAGACATATTATACAAAAAATACAAATTGAAGGGAATGAAATAAGAAATGTATGTAAGCATATAAGACAATCAATGTCATTGTATGTGAATCCATATAAAAGTTATTTCTAAGAAACTTGTTACTGTAATGCTAAAAGTTGGTAAACACAGTTAAATATACTTACCGATATATACTAGCACTATGCAAAGCTGAGATAACAGCAAACAGAGAATGTAAATTGTTAAGATCATGTAACTTTTTTGCTACTTTTATAAAATGTGCAAGTGTTTCTGCTCTTGCTTTAGGTGACTGCCCATTTAATATTTCTTGTACGGTCCAAAAACTCACCTAAAACAATTATTATATAAGCACTAAACATGACACCATGTTGTACCATCACTGAATGTATGTATTATCATAGATTTAATTATTATTGTAATAAAAAATCAAGAAAATTATAATTAGGAAACAGTCCAAATTATCATTATTCTCATTTCGGTGAATGTATCACTACAAAAAGTTTACTTTAAAATGTCAATATATAGGAATTAACAGCCTCCTTAATGTAGCGGTTTAGCACACCTCAATTCCGATAATTACAGGTTCAATTCCATAAATGTTGGAAACATTAAGATTGTTTGTATTGGTCTGGGTGTTTTCTAAATATATTATGTAGCATATTTACAAGATAAATGTATTTATGTTTTTATATAAGTTACCCATAAGACAAGCTCTGCTTAGCTAGAGACTAGAGCAGTGTGAATTGTCCAAGGTTATTATTATTATAGAGGATATAATAAAATAAAATCCGATTCCAATACCAGTTATTTGGAACCAGTTTGAATTAACAAGACTTTTCATAACCTATTCTTTTCAGGCCCTTTTCATGTTCCTGTAATTATATTGTCCAATGTCAGTTAATGTTGGCCTGGATGTAAATGACCATGAATCCAGATCCAGACAAATATGCATGACTCCCCTTTCGTTGTTTAACCAGTATTACTCGTCTTGACTTACGGAATTTCTTTCGTGTCATCTGAATACACAGCACGGGCGCCGACATTTTGCTAAACTGCCATATCAGCTATATTAAGACATGATACAATTGTCATTCACAATGTGGCCTATTATTTGTAAACAAGTCCCTACTTTTATTTACAACTCTTTCAAATTATGTAAATCAGTTAACAACAAAAATGACTTACCCTATTGAATCGTTTTGTAAATGCTACAACATTAGGGGACTCTATTAATTTATTTAATTTATTCCAGCCACATGTTGTCAGTTCCTCGGGCTGAATAGATTTAAAACATGGCAAATCAAGTAAAGTAAGTTGATTTGCTATATCTTCAGGAGATAACCGTAAAGCAGAGCAAACTATGTCATCCCATGATTGGGTAATTGAAGTGGCTGCCGGTAGACTGCTAGTCTTGTACTGATATATCGGATCAAGTTGTCTATTACCCACACCTTCACCATGACTGAAAATAAAATTAAGTGTTTATAAGCTATATACATATTTGCCACAAATCAAACAATCTGTTGGTACATATACATAATATTGAGTCTATTGGCAACAATACAATATTTTATACTTTTTAAACAAAATTATGAACATGATTTTTTTTATATATACATTCAGGTATTGTTATTAAAACAATATCTTATCCAATTTCATATTTAAAATATTATGTAAATTACCAGTCCTCTCAAGAGATATTAATGTAGTCAAGTTACATAAATTCATACACAGATATATAAATTCAAATACTGACATCTATATCTAACCTTTTTACACTTTCACTATCACATAATAAGAACAGAGAATTGAAATTCTATAACATAAAATTCGAAGAAAACTGATTGCAATTAGTCAAGCAATTCTTTTTCTGCAGCTGAGTATGCTATTTTAATCAAAGGATAGCCTATGTTTATTCAGCCATTTATAAGTGAAAAGATCACAAAATTTCACATTCATAATAAATAAAAGTATATATATTTACATATGTATAGACAGTATAAACAAATTTCATAAACTTTTCACTTACCCATAATTATAATAACAAGCACAATCATCTTTAGTATAAGACTGTTGGCTATTTAATGGAACATTTACTAGTTTCTTATTATTTTGCTTGCTTGGTGGCTTGTCTTCTAATGGCCATTTATCTTCATCCTCATGCTGCAAAAAAAAGTCATTATAATTCTTACTTTGTTTTTAAGTAAATACATTATTTGTTTCATACCTATGTATACAAATAAACCAATAGATGTAGACATATTCTGTAATACATATATTTATGTATAGTAATATTCAATAGTTTTCAAAAAAATCAATTTTTAGTGTTTATTAATAAAAATGATCAATTACGATCTTTTAGTCTTGTTCCAAGAAAATTTACTAATAGTATGATAGATTCAAGTATATTTAATTAATAACTGAATAATTATTTAATAAAAAACAATAAAAGTAATTTGTAAATATCTGCATATATGGAATTTTTGTTAACTAATTCATCATTCCTTTTAAATATTGATATAACTTTGTCTTTAATCCCAATATTTTTAAAGACTAAGACACAGTTGCTGTGTCTTAGTCTTTAAAAAAATTTAATCAAGATTTTTAATACCAGTAAACTGCATATATATATAGAGATGATATAGGCAAGTAAACAAATTTATTCAGAGCAAAGTTATTTATTTTGTAAGCATGCCACAGTAGATTCCATTTATAATGATAAGGAAGGGAAGTGACAAACATATCAGACTAAACGGATGTGATATAAAGTATAATAACACAAAAGAACTTTTTAACTACATATTTTCTAAGTATAAATAGTTAAAAAAAGAAATTTATAGAGCTTCTAAAGAAACATAATAAACATGATATTCCAATGGTAATGTATATTTTTTTATAGATAACTAGAAGTGTAACCAAGTAAACAGCCCACTTCATGGAAAGTGGCACCCAACACCTAAAGAAAAATAGAGAACTACCATGACCTAGAACAGTACCATGAACATCAAGTTCTTATTACTCGTTGTTAGTCCTGGAATATTCTCAAAGAATGTCATTTTTCCAAGCCATATAATTTCACTACCATATCTAGTCCTTTATATCAAAAGACTTATTTGTGAAAAACTCTTTGTAAAAGAAGACTGTTCGGCTATATCATATTGCTTAGGAAGATATTATAAAATTTCTTTCATGTTTGTTTTACTGGGGAAAAACAATGCCAGTAAACAGGATCACAACATAATAAACATCAGCAATTATGCAACTGAGAATACTGATGTCTGCGGGTATAATAATAGTTTCATTCTCATAAATAGTACAGGTTTCATATTATGAAATCTTGTATCAAAATAATACTTGAAGTGGAGGGTTACCTTTGATACTTACAATATTGGTGGTGATTTTTAGTAATGGGAATTAGAGCTCTAACTAGCAATATATTCTATCAAGTGATACCATGGTGATAAATTCCTAGTGAATTTATCACAATGGTCTCTCTAGACTAACTTCAACCACATAATGCCATGCTGTGCAGTTGCCAGGACAGTGGATACTGTAAGCGCAGGAAGATGCACTATTCTGATAAAAAGTACATATAATATCACATACATACCTCTACAATTCTCAGTACAGCAAGACTATCACTTAAAATATCCCTGGGCATTTCGATGAAATACACAACATACTTTAGCCAGAAGGATTGTTGTCACTTCTAACAATCAATTATTATACTGTACTATATATTTGAAATTCAATCAGATTATGTTTAGACAAATAATTACTTAATGTCTTTCAAATTAAGCCTGTAAACAAAGGGTTCATTAACGCAACAGTACATTATTGAATATTGGGATCACAAAAACGTAACTTTACATACCCAGGTTGCAAATAATGCAAAATAATAGAAACATCCATTGCCGAGTGGCAAAATCTAGCATAATAATTAAAATATTTAAGTATCGGTAAATTTTATACAATCTATTATTGGACGCATGAATTATATATAATTTACATCTACTTGCAACCTAAAAATAATTGTATAAATTACTTACCAATGTGTTCATTTCTAGTTTTTACACTAAAAGTGCATTCTATTAATTCGTTTGGGTATAAGACACCGGATTTTTAAATCAAATAAATGAAAATTCATTTATGACATTTTAGTTCATAATGTATGTCTCTATAGTTTCTGGCTTCTATATAAGCAAATAATTATAGATCATAGATAGAAAATGGCAATTGACGATTCCATAGAATTGGCAATGGCAATCACAATCACAAGTACAAATAATCTGTCTCTGTCAGTCTTTTGTTTCTTGTAGTCTGTTGTCTCTGTTACCCAATCGAATACTATTTATGACTGAGCAAGTAATCATTACGTTTTAATGTAGCAATCTCACAAGCCATCGAACCATAGAGATAATATGTGCGACTGCCGAAGATTTACGATTTTAATTTGTTGTTCGTAGCTTCATAAAAATAATAAAAAGATTTGAGCATAATTTATCTCTAATAATAGTATCATTATTCATATATTAAATTATTTTGTAACATAGTTTTTAGAGTAACGGCTTTTCGCCAATGCCCAATAAAAAGTAGGCTCATAATTTGAACTCTTTGAGTTCTAGCACCTCTATGGTTTGAGTCGACATGAGTATACATATAAAACAAGAATTAACTCTGTTATGTTAAGGTGGTATCCATGTACAAACTTCCGTGACTTCCGTTGAAATTGTATTCGTTTTATTTCCCTTTAACGTAATTTTTCAAAAACAAAGAATTTCTGTAGTTAATATCTATAAAGAATATGCAAGGTAATTAATACAGATTATAGTAAGTTTCAAAACTATTTAATGTAAATGTAAAAGAAAAATCGAACTTTTATGAGTGATACATTTGTTCAACTTCTGTAAACTGTTATGGCGTTTGTGTCTCAATACACAACGCACTATCGTTTCTCTGTCCCGTGATTAAGAAAAAAATATATTTAAAATGGTTGAATCGTTTTTATAATATCATATTAGTATGGGAATAAGTTTTTCGTAAAGCTAACCGACGTAACTGTGAAAGTGTAAAGTTTTTAGGTTATGTTTCCATCTTTTATAGGTATTTTAGGTGGGTTTCAGTGAGACGGGATATCATTTACGTCTTTTTCTCGGAGAAGTTAAAGTTAAAAGTGATGTCTGAATGAATTTCTCACGGTTTCTAGATATTCAGTCATGGTGGGAAGTGCCCAGCATCGCGTACTTTTGTTCCCTATTCAGGACTGCATTCAATCTCCTGGATTTTGACATCGAAGTACGTTTTGTTAATATATTATATATTTGTACAATTTCGAATGAAACTTCATCATTTTTAAATAAAGTGGAGTGTTAACTAGATATGTACGTTATAGGAATTGGAAGAAGCTCTATTGACAGATGGAACAGAGGAGTCAGCCAGTTCCCTCCTGACTGAGTTAATTGTACGTCTTTTGAATGGTTGTCTAGGCAACAATGACATCTCAGCCTTCAATTATCAGGTAACAAAAATAATACTTGCATTCTAATTTTCAACCTTTATACATGAACTTTTAAATTTAAGTTGGTGTCTATAATTCTTTACAGATGTATTTGAGGCGCCTCTTTCGACGAAAATGTCAAGATACAGGAAGATATAACCCTTTTAATACAGATATTGACTTCCAATTTTTACCTCTCCGTACAAAGGTGGAAATTTTATATGCTTTATGTGATTTTCGTTTGGAAGCAGAGGATGTTTTTGATTTATTTAGAAATCTTGAAGCTGAAAGTTTAAGAGTAGAACCATTGGGGCAAGTATATATAAAAAATAAGTCATCATATTATGATATAAACAAGAATTTCTCTGAGGTTATATGTACTATGAATGATTTATTTGTTTTACAGCTGGGATGATAATGACTCTGCATACTGGTATTTTTATGGTACAAGATTATATCGTGAAGACATTATAAAAAAGAATAAAACTAAAACCAAAAAGAAAAAAAGTAAGGAAAGCAGAAAGAGAGGGTGGTTCTATGGTGATGACTGGCTTGATGACGACGAAACAGAGAGGGTTTGGCAAGTGGTGTGTTTTACTGAAGAGGATTGGACCCACCTGACAGAGAAATTTAGTAAGGCTTCCAGTAAGATTGAAAAGGAGTTATACAGATCTCTCTCACAAAATTTTTTGCCAGAAATACCTAGATTGTTTCAGGAGAAAGAGAGGCTGCAAAGAAAAAGGTAACATTAATTTTATTTATGATATATATTATTGTTTATCTGCAAAATTAAAATAACTTATAAAAATTTTGTTAGTGCGAAGTCTTTTTCTTCTATTGTAATATATGTGTTCAATATGCATAATAAGCAATTATATCAATCTGCATTCTTTTTATATCATTTTTGTCTATAAATGTTATTAACTATAAATAATTGCAAAATATAAAGACTATTCATATATATGATATGATATGAGTCTTACACATACTTTTTAAAATATAAAATTACTATGCAAAATTGACATACAGAATATATGATATATAGGAGGTACTAATGAATAGAGTATAAAAATATCATCAAATACTGTTTTATCAAAACAATAGTTATATAAACCTCACTAACAACTTGTGCAATATTTTATTATAAATCTGATATTAATATTGCTGATGCGAAAGTATATTTTTATACTAAATACCATTTTGTATTCTCAAAGGCTAAAGAGGTAATATTTTAAATTTTATTAGGTGTGTTTAGAGTAGTGTACTGAATACTAGCTTTTGATATGACAGTTATGTTTTGTAGTACTAAATAACACTGCATAACCCTATGGGTCATCAATATATTATTAATTAACATCAGTTGTTAATTAATAATATATTGCAAAAGAAGTATAGCTCTGATTGATGTTTTTTTGGTTTTCTTAATTTTATTTTACCCAGCCTTTACTGTAAGGAATCTGATGTGAGATATTTACATTTTTTTTAACTAAATGCACAAATACTTAAATTTGAGTGATTGTTGAAATATATTTTTTACTTTATTTATTCTTCTATAAAATTCATAGAATCGCAAGAATTTATAATATGCAATAGTTTTGGCTTTCTTGCGATTACATTTCATTTTTATTTTTAATCATGTGCAAAACATTTTAAAGACCCTAGCGAAATTATAAATTCTTATATAAATATTTTATTGAACAAAGTTACATAACATTTATATTGAGTCATATGTTTTGTATCTTCATTTGTTTTTCTAAAATATTATTCTCCACACAAATGTAAACTTACTGTTACAAAGTAACATGTAGATAACAGTACTAAAGGGCCTGTTCTTTTCAAATGGAGCAAGGAACTGAATGAAGTATTCTACTGTTCAATTACACATATAATTATAATATACATAAATAATAGTTAATATGGGCTTGGCTAAAGTTTTTATTTAAATAAATGCTGTGGCAAAATGAGCATAAAAATTGTAGCGAAATAAATGCTTTTTTTTAATATTGTTTCTTTAAATTAATAAATCTCTCACTTCAGATCCTTTATAGGTTTTTTATGTATTCTGTTGTTATCTTGCTACCTATTTTCTGTAAGGGGCCATTAATAAATTACGTGACACATAGAATGGTCTACAAAATATGACATTGTATATGTATATAATAGTAAAAAACAGCAATCCCCCATCTCTCCTTCCATTATCTAAAAGGCATAAATGCACAGGCAAATGGTGCACCCGTCTGCGCTAACGGTTTACGCTGGCAGGCACCAGTGGGGTTTGATAAGATGAGCATGCGGTCAGGTTAGTTAGACCATTATGACAATTCACCAAGAAGTTGTCACTATAGTTTCCAGGGGGAACTCGACCTGACATTGTACATTGGTAGCAATAAGATCATCAGTTCCCATTACTTGTGACCAGAGTTGACGGCTGGGAGGGAGAGGGTAAAAATTACTAACATTGTTGTGATGTAATTATTGTATGGCTCCTAATATTGTATACTTAGTATATAAAATAAATCCCTCATTAAAATAACTCTTCATGCTTTAGAGTGCTATTTAATTGATTTGTCGTATATTTTTTTAAATTATTTTCGTATTGGCTGACAAATTCATTTGCAGTAAAATTATGCTACTAATTATTTAAAAAAAATTGACTTCAGCAGCTTGCATGTAATATTCAAAACAAACAAATTTTACTTACGAAGGACATTTCTGTAAATGTTTTGTTACCGTGATAACTGCATCACTTATTATTATTTATTACATTAATTCATATCGGTTTCTAAAGAAATTAATGGAAAGAATATGTAAAGTTAAAATAAAAACCGGATACATTTTTAATAACAACAACATAGATTTGAATTTCCTTCGAGCAAAATTGGTGTTATATTTTAATGTTTAATGTACTTTTACTCCTAAGTATTTCCATTTTTTTACCTTGTATTTGCATTATAGATCCGTAAGTATTTGCATTTGCTTTTATATTTTAAGGTTGCTAGAGCTATTGCCAAGACGTACATCAAGTCGCGTGCTTCAAAAAATAAAACAAAAGGAGGAAGAAACTAAACAGACTACGCATGAGGCAGATGAGAGGAAAGAGACACCAGATCTTGCTCGGGAAAATAGAGCTAAAAGACGAAATTTGTTGAGGTATTTAATATAAAGAGATATGGGTAAAGTTTGCATTTTTTCTATTATTATTATATAGTATTACTTTCTTTTGTGGCCATTTTAAATGTGATGTACTTAAAAGACCAGGTAGAGACACATATGGGTCAAAAGAAATAATGTGGTTGTCTATTTATCTACTATGTCTCAAGCTGTCTACCTCAAATGGATGTTTGTTATTAGTATTTCCGTAGTTAAAATAGTACATACTGTGGAAGCGATCATCATTTGCATAAAAACAATTGTTGTAAAAAATATAATTTCAAATAAAAATACAACACTTTTTCATTGTTAAATCTAAGATATTTGATTTTCTTCCGAAACCACGAGTCATATTGGTGAAGATTTTATTAATGTTATTTTAATAGGCTAAACTTATTTTTCGTCATGACTCGTCTATTTTAGATTAATATGGTGGTTTTTTTTATAGTATTTGTTTTATAATTCGGTTCCACGTTTCATTTGTCGTAATTAGTGAGTTTTAGAAAAGATAGTCATATCGTACAAACATCGGCATATGTTTATAATAATAGTACTGACTTCATGCTTCCAGTAGTGTATTGGTACTTGATTGATCTTTAGCCCGTTCTCCGCTTGTAATATTTTATTGGCACTAGGTTGAACTTTAACCCATTCTGTGCAGCACGTACTAGATCGGCAAATAGTCCGACCTATATATTTATCGGCGCCGACAAATGTGAATCTATCAAGTCCATAACTATAGCAAATTTAGTTCAATTTTTAATAGAATCTATAAATAGGGAATGCGATTCTCACTCTCTGTCTCTACTATTTCTTACTTAGCAGATTATTTCAAAAGGAAAATTTGCTTCATCAATAATCTTCTAATAGTTTTCAGAATATATTATTAACCTCTGAGTGTCCTTTATACTTAAAGTTGGTGAGTATTATAGTACACGGCATCATGGAAATATTCTCTCCCATTGGTTTAAAAACTATAAATAGCACTAGAATATGCACAGTGCTTTGAAATGTTAACAAAAGTCCATTCAGAATACTCCTTGAATTGAATAATTGCTCTATAACATTGTGTTTGACGCTGCACGCCCCGAATGCCTAGAATGCAGCATATTTTATGAGCTCACAACACAATTGCCATTAATAACTGCCATAGATAAGTTGCGACAACTGATATACATGTACTTTGACGACTTATTTATAGAATTGAAACACAATTGTCTGGGCTCGGTATTACATACTGCAAGACTTGTTAATGATAAATGTTTACTTAAGATGATAGTAGAAATTTATATACATAAATTTAAATAGCTGATTGTACGTACAATAAATTATCTTAAATAATAATTATAATATATATATATATATATATATTAGAATAATTAGAAAGAAAATGTTTAAAATATCGTATGGCAGAGTGAAAAAAATATGTTAACAATATGCACTTCGTATATGAAACATTAAAAAATCTTCACAATTTTGACAAATTTGGCTTTCAGATTTTTAGTTTGTATTAGTCATTACATGTTTCGATTGTGGCCCGTTTTTGTTTCTTTAGTACACCTACGTAAAGATGAGACAGATAGCATTTGGTAATAATTATCCGTGGCCACAACTAAGAATAGATAACGACATTCCTTATCAATAATTTCTCAAAATCACCAGGCAGAAAATTTGCTTTGGCTTCAATAAATTTATATATTCAATAAATAACTATGAATATGTAAATGAACATTTAAAGAATATTTACATGGTATTATGTGTACATTATATAAATAATATTTAAAAAAACCTTATTTTTATTAATATTATACATTTTTGAATACTTGCCTGAGTTCATTTGAACCATGAAATATTCTTTAAATGTTCATTTACATATTCATAGTTATTTGACTAAGTTAATTACTAACTAACTGACTAACTAATTTACCACAAATTTAATCTAATATGATATTGTTAGCATTTTTAAAGAATGTCAAGAAATTAAACATATCATAGAAATCGCCCCAGTATTTTTTAAAAATTCCTCTAGACGCGGCGCTGTAAAGAGAGCTTTTGGCCAAAATAAAAATAAGCAGTAGTACATCATTAAGTTCTCAAACCGGAAATGCATTTATTAACTCAGAATCATTAATACATAGTATAAAGCAAAGTCGCTGTCGCTGTCTGTCCGTCCCTATGTATGCTTAAATCTTTAAAACTACGCAACGGATATTGAAGCGGTTTTTTTTTAATAGATAGAGTGATTCTAGAGGAAGGTTTATATATATAATACGTGTACACCCGGGCGAAGCCGGAGCCAGTAACTAGTATTGAATAATACGTTTTATAGCTATTATATTATATTACATATAATAACGTCAAATATATGTCATTTACAGTGCTATAATGACGTCATTTGTGAGCACTCACTTCGACTAAATCTTATATATAAAATTCTCGTGTCACAGTTTTCGTTCCCATACTCCTCCGAAACGGCTTGACCGATTCTCATGAAATTTTTTGAACGTATTGTGTAGGTCTGAGAATCGGCCAACCTATTTTTCATCCCCCTTAGGCGTAGTCCACCCCTAAATTTTTTTTTTATTTTAAGGCAAAACAACGTTTGCCGGGACAGCTAGTAATTAATAAAATCTTAACTGTTATAAAAACTAATCGTCAATAAATTAATATACATTATACTAATATAGTATTATATAAATGTTTTATTTATAAATAATATTATAATAATTATAATTTAAAATAAAATAAAAATAACAGAACTATCGTAAAAACATTAATTAAAATTGTTCAACTTGCTCCTCCAAACTTAAAAAGATATTGCTAGAAAAATTAAATATTTAGATAAGAAAAGGAACAGGGGATTAAACAAATATCCAACTAAGCAAGCCAACAGTGCAATTATTTGTATTTGCATTTCAGTTTCATGTGTGTGAAATCGGTCTTATTAGATCTCCACTTATTCAAAGTGGTTCTTAGCCACTTGGACTTTGGTCTTTGCCCAGGTATTGCATCGTTTTCTGAGAAATTTGGTCCCAGCTTGCCATCACAGACATATCGTATACAGATTGATTTGTGCTCTGGACGCTTTGTTTCGTTAGATACCACTTGCAATTATTATTATCTAGGCGTTCTCTAGTATGCATCAACTCTAACCTTTCGTCAATAGCTACGCAAATGGAATTGCATGTAGCCTAATTATATTCTCGATGTGACGTTTGGTTGTCACCGTGTCTATTGAGCAATACCAGATCGAATGTACCCAGTAACCTAATTCCTAATTTTGGTTGTTGAATTATTGTAATTCATTAAGAGCCACTGTGCTGTCACTTTCGTAGATTTAACAATCTAAAAATCACTTTCTTAGGCCTACATCATGCACCAATCATCAATGAAATAATTGACACATATTCTGGAAATTTCCTGATCTTCTTACAACTAGTTATAGTTTAATCTTTAGAAAGAGTCCCTGTGGCCAAACGCAAGCAGTTTTGTAATGAAAGTGCTGCGATAAAAATCTCTATCCACTCAGGGAAGCGTCAATAGCGGTCTTAATGTTCGCTGATTACATAATTCTACCTAATGTCCAAATTCGCACAATACAGAGGTGTAATCACAAAGTGTTTTCTTTCGTTTTAAATTTTAAATTCGAATTAAACTCGAAGTATACTTTATTATCCTCGCGCGTATACTCATGAACAAAATTTCGGGATCGATCCTGATCGATTCGGAACGTCACTCAAATAATGTATATATTATGTACGAGACAATGGTATTGACATATCTTACTAATATTATATACTCAAAAGTTTGTGAGTATGGATGGGTGGTTGTTTGTTGTCTGTCGCGCAAAAGTTACTAAACGGATTTTAATGAAATTTTACAGTAAAATTAGCTAGCTTATATATCAGAATAACCATAATTTAGGAAAATATATAAATTAGGCTGAATGTAATATGTGAATGTGATGGAGACAAAGTTGCGCGATTCGAAAATTTTAATTTATTGTTACGAGTTATTATACAGGATAATAATGAAATACTTCCGGTATATTTTATTTGTATTAGTAAAAATATAATTAAATATAAGTAATTTGGTATTTTCCAATTTGGTTATTTCAAGCCGTATCCTTTTGTAATTTATCTTTTGCATTCCATTACTAGAAGTATTACTAATTATTTAATTATGTCGGTTTGATACAATAATTTTTTAACGTTATTTATTGTTTTTCAGGCTATGGCGGCCTGTGCCATAAGTTTTATTTGTCTAAGCAGCATGGAATACACATGTTTGATACGCCTGAGATGACGGTGATGGTGTATTAAAACAATAAATAAATAAATACTACTGTGTATTTAATTTGACTATATTTATTTTAATATTGTTATCAACTAATTTTAACAATATAGTCAGATCTGTTTAATTAAATTGAATCGTTAAGTTACAACATATTTAATACAGAATATATTCAGTTTTGTGAAATCTTCATTATAAAAGAGCTTTATTGTATTAAAAAAATTGACGGTCAAATATAATGGTTGCAGTAAACTCTAGTGTAACATAACCTTATGGTTAAATTTCAAAGCGTCTACAATTTACTATACTAAGGATGTAGATTCGGCATAAATGAAAATTCAATTACCGGTTAATCCCCCTAACTTCGTCTACGTGCTTGAAATTGTCACATTTTCTATAATTGCAGCCAAACTTAATATTATCATAACCTTCATTAATTATATGGATTAACAATGTGACGAAATTCTTTCTATGTTTATTATTACCGTATTTTACTATGTATTTTAAAGTATAGAAAATTGCAATTATATGAAGTCTTAACCTAATTCGTTAACTTCCGTTAAAAAATTCGGAATTGACAACCCTACGAGTGTGAAGATCGGATAATTTTTAAAATCCGTTTGTAATCTTTTTTGCATTTTATTATTATATATAATATTTTGCAGATCTTCACTTAATTCTATGTTTAGAACTCTTGAAGCAAATACAAAAATCGAACCTATATGTCAATCATACATATCACGTTTAAGACACTGAGTTAAAACGTGAGTTATAGCGTGGCTCCAAATTTTTCAAATTAGAAATTATTTTAACGTTTCTGTTTGTGCGTTTTGGTTGAGATAAAAAATAGTAACTATATAAAATGCGCATATAAAACAATTACAATAACAGTGGATTCAAAGTTTGGTATATTTTACCCCTCAGTTGAGAAAACGAGTATTTTATTTTTGTTTTCTAGGGCTAGCATATTTTTATGGATATAGTTGCAAAAAATATATTTGTATGTAGGTATATTTTTAGGTGCAAATTATAGAATATATAGTGTCCATAACATTCTAGAAGCTAGAAATACTTTTTTCTTACTGACTACACTACCATAGCGAAGTTGGTATAAGTAAAACTTAGGTATTTGGTTAACGGATTAACAAAAGGACATTCTGTATATAAGTTCGCATTTACCCCCGATCGATCCCTGTCACATTCAGTGTTGGACTACGATTACTTTCTTAATCAATTAATTTCAATCACTTCTTAGTTTATTACGACTTGATTAACATTAATACAAGGTTCGGAACTGATAGCCTGGGTATCTCCGTGATAAGATGTCGAAGATGATGATAATGACACTGTATCACAATCACCACCACCTTACTCGTCATCATCATTACTCTCATGTAGATCGACCAAAGTTACTACTAAGTATATATTAATAGAAATAATAAATAGGCTGCGGCTTATCTGATGTTAATAACAAGGATGGTTAGAGATATGTTTAGAGGATTGCATTTCAATAATATATCAGCACGAAACTATGTCTAAAAGCTATGCTTGTATGTTATTTACAAAGAAAAGGCCATAACATTTTTAAGGAACAAAATGCCCCGCTTAGTTGTACAATTCCAGACGTTAAGAAAAATGCGTAATGGATGATTTCGATTATCTTGTAAACGATGAATGTTTTATACATACTGAATGTGCAGACTTTTTACTATACTCAGGTATATCAAGTTCTTTGGATTTCATTTCAATAAAGAGCTAATGTAGTATACTCGGATCTATATAGGTCTTCGTTGTGCATAATCGTCTGTGTAGTTAACTGATGTAATTATTCTTTCGAATGTGCTCGACAGGTTTCAGAGCCCAGGCCAACAAGGGAGAATTCTCAACGGATTTTTTGTTCTTCAAAACAGAACCTTATAGAATTGCATATTACAATTTAATCATGTCCGCTCAAATACGCAGTTAATAGATAGTGTTTAGTTGCTTTTCACTTCAAACCAGACTACAGCCGAAGAAACCGTTCCGTGACGGACCAGGAGTCTCAAACATAAACTTTATTGACTCAATTTCAAAAGTAATATACCTAAATAATATTTAACCGTCAAGAATATAACTTTCCTTGCTTTAGAGATACAATTAAAGTTTCATTTCAACTTCGATTTTATCATGGTCCAAATTAATATAATATTTTGAATAATATTTCCCTATTTATTATTATTTAAGTTACATTTAAATGTTTATTGAAATAATCCGTGTAGAAAAATTAAACATGGAAACAAAATAATTTCCTATGACGTTTATAAAATAAACATAACATTAATTTCAGATCAAAGTCAGTTTCTTCTGAGTCGTCAGAGAATACAGCAAGTGAAAACCAAGAAACCATGCCTCAAAAAGTTGCAAGGAAATCTAAAAATCAAGATAAACGGTCAAAAAACTCCTCTGCAACTCCAAAAGGTGAACCACCACCGGAGCCTCCAGTAAAAACCGGCAGAAAAACAAATAATTCATTAGCATCCGCTACAGGGCAAATTTTAATACCAGATAACGATGAACCAGTGAATAGTACCAGGAAGAAATTAAAAACATCACAAATGTAAGTTTAGTATCCATAGGGCAATAGTTTTCTATGCCCATAAGATATTTAAGTAATGCTTGCTTGCATTTTGTAAAATTTATTTGTCCACCGCCCTTATACTTCGACGACACTTCGGGCGTGATCAAAAAGATTATATTTATTCATTAGTATGCCGTTTATGGTGTTACATCCAGATTTATTTGGAATTGACAAGCGAAGCTAGTGACAGTATTAAGTAAACAATTTTTTTTTTTCAACAAAAAAAGAATATTGTAATAACTTTCTTTTTTTTCCCTTTTGTCTTTCCATCTGCCATCAGCCTTATGGCTATAATCAGATATATTGTATTTTTTTTTATTTTGGGATATGTCGTCCATTGACTTGAATCCCTTTTATTTTACATTAGTAGGTACTTATATTTTGGCCAGACGTTCCCTCTTCAAGCGGAATACATCATCCCTGGTATCTAGAAGCTTTAGGGCTAATTTGTTCGTATGATATTTAAGTCTGTGCTTGTACGTCTCACACAGTCGACTGATTTCATCCTTAATAGTTGGTATCTCGAGGTACGTGTGTACTTCATCATTCCTTGAAAACCATGGTGCATTTGTGATAAATTTTAAAGCATTGTTCTGGAATCTCTGTAGAATTTCGATATTCGATTAGGAAGCTGAGCCCCATAGTTCAACTCCGTAAGTCCATACTGGTTTGATGATACATTTGTATATAATTGTTTTGTTTTCAAGACTTAAGGAGGATTGTCTACCTATTAGCCAGTTTATTTGATGCAACTTATTATTAAGTTGGTATCTTTTTGCCTTAATGTGATTTCTCCAAGTTAGCTTTCTATAAAAACATATTTCTTTTTTATAATTTTCAACTACTACGGTAGTATATAACACTGGCGTTGATAAGAAATTATAATTCAAATTTTCCTTTAGCATTACCATTCAACTTGTATTTTAAATATTATCGATTAGATCACGCTAAAAATCCGTTTGCTAATTCTATTGAGTTCAGACTGCCATTGTATACATTATTAAACTCACTTTAAATAAATGTTCAAGTAGCATCATTTTACAATGACAAATACTAAAATATTATTCTAAGTACTATAAAATATACATGTTAACATGTACTGTTTGTTATTTAAAAATTATAATTCTATTTATTCTTAATATTACAGTTTTTATTGCAGATTTAGTCAAATGGATGAAGATATTCAAACTGATATGTATAAGGTTCTAGAACAACTTACTGCTCACCAAGATGCATGGCCTTTTATGGATCCAGTTGACGAAAAATTTGCTCCCAATTATTATGCAGTTATCAGACGCCCTATGGATCTAAGAAAAATGGAAGAACGACTTGATAGTGGATATTACACCGAATTCTCTATGTTTAAAGCTGATTTCAAACTGATTGTTAATAACTGCCGTTTATTCAATGGCCAGGACAATGGTAGGGTTATTTATAGTATTAGTTTGAATAGCAAATATGGAAAAATCTTATAGCAAAAATTACTTGTGAATTGACATTATTTCTTCTTGATCGATTCATGGATATTTTAATAATTCTCTAAACTTACCTAATAGAATCTAATTTTTAAGACAATTCTGTCATTTGAAACTATTTTGTGTGATCTAAAGGACCTGCCTGGATAAGCGTATGGAATCTGCAACAGTGTCTATTGTAGATGTAAATTTAGCTTCTCACTCACACTCATTACTCTCTTACTGTAGGATATAATATGAAATAATTGTGTGGTTGTCGTAGAAGAAATACAAATACAACGTAAAATTACTTCAATAAACATTGGTGCAGGTATACATATTAAATTAACATGTACTATAGATAAAAAACAAATCTGCTTTTGTTATTTTGACATAATCTAGTGATTGAATTTATGCCACCTATTTATTTTAATATTCAATCTTAAATTATTTCAGAATATACTATGATGGTTGATAACTTACAAGCTGCTTTTGATCGCCTAACAGAGAAATATATACATAGACTATCTTCATCTGATGAAGAGATTGCGGTGGAATACCAGTTACCGACACCCTCTAGAAAACACAAACTGAAAAGTAGTGAATCTCCTATTCGCCATAAAAGAAAGAAAAGAAAATCTCATAATGATACTGGTACGTCATATATAATTTTTAATCTTGATTAATCCCTACTAATAATTATTTGTTTATATGAAATGATGAATGCGACCTTGCAAAATTAATTATGTTAAAAATAATTTTAATATTACAAAAACTACTACTATTTAATAGTAACCAGTCATATAGTCCATTGATGTGTCCAGGGATGATGTTCTGACTTCATCTAATTTTCAGAATATATCATTCTTAAATATTTAATAGTAACAATCCCACCATCTGTCTAATGTATAACTCGGAGCACTCTCAATTAAATCGACCATTATTATTATATTTCGACTAATATTTACAATTGCTTTTTAAATTATTGTCCATGTTATTCTGGCGTACATGCTATATTACTGTAAAGTTTCATAAAATGCGTTCAGTAGTTTTGATGTGCAAGAGCAAGAAACATCCATACATGCATGTGGATGACACAAACTTTCACATTTATAATAGTAGTAGGAGTAGTTATGCGAAAGTAACTCTGTCTGTCTGGTACCTTTTCTTATTATAAACTGTTGACTGTTGAACCAAATTGTATGAATTGATGTAGAAGTAGATTGAAACATGGTGAAAGGACATAGGCTACTTTTTATCGCAATAATTTAACCTAAAAGAGATGGAAATAACCTATCATTTGTCTAGTAAAAGATGTTTTGATTTATTAATAGATAGAAATAATCTGTGGGTTAATTTATTTTAACCGCATTAACAAAAAGTTAATATAGTAAATGACATTTTTAACAGTATTTATGTCAAATTTTAGTCTTTTAATTCTGCATGGTGTTAGTAACATTGTTGTTCCGGGACAAGACGTTAAGCATTTTTTTTTAGTAAATCCATTTACGTTTTTTGATATTATATGATTGAATGTTTATTTAGGTATAGGTTTGGACTAAAAAATATATAAGAAAATACATGTCAAAACCATTATACTATAAAAATAAATAAAGACTAGCGATTAGGAAGGCTAGGATATTATATATACAACTAGATGAAAACCCGGCTTCACTCGGGTGAAATGTGGGTAGATATTTCTGTAGTCATCGGTTCTCAAGGATCATTAAAGATAAGCATGGCATAGATTCGTATAGCTTCGTTCATTGCGTTTAATAAATATAGTACCGAAATAAAAAGTGCCAAAGTTTTTAGACAAATAATTTTTATTTTAAATCAACATTCAAAATAACATAAATTAACAAAACATATAACTTTTAAGGTTTATTCTCTGTAAACCTCTTTGTTTTAAGCACTAAAACCAATTGCTTCAAATATCATTCCCATTCTTGATCGTCAACTGGAAGTAAATAAGTACTTATTTCATTCACTTTAAGAAGAAAATATAGAACAAAATTCACTAAAAACACAATCTGCCTACATACTTACTAAAATACTTCTCACCATCTTTACGAAGAGCCCTACGCTGTATCCTCTTTCCGCAATTGTGACAATGTTTACAAAATGCAAGGAGATTCGGATATAACGAGATGATATAGGTATCATCATACAAAAGACCAAACAAAGGCAGAGACACGACCAATGAAAGCTTTTATACGATTACGATTTTCGGCATAATGTGAGTAATCCAAACAAAGTAAATCACTACGCAAAACTAAATGACAATGACATTTCAACTAAAACTTCTACTTTTATGGTTATGGTTATAGTCTGACTGTCTGGTCTTCCGCACCCCCCTAGGATGGTGAAGGTTGGAGCCTCGGGGCGAACCCTTTGTCCCGGCATCTACTCCGGGGACAACAACCCTGGGTGTCAAGATCTAGATCAAAGCCTCTAGGGCTAGTATACATAAAAAAAAAATAAAGAAAAACTACTTAAAGCTACTACACGTTGTGCCGTACTTGGGGACAGAATTCTATCTGTTCTGACGTTCTTCCAGTACGACGACGTGGCCCACCATCGTCCTTTCTTCTTCCTCTTTTTCCTTTCAACCTTCCCTCTCGACCCGCGTTAGCCATTTGCTGTGCCCCACTGTGGTGTCGAGCCCCCGCAAAAATGCGGGGCGTTGGGCGACAGGGACACCAAGTAACTTAGGAATGTTTGTAAGTGCCATACTTGGTTATAGTTTGTTTTTTAATCCCTTAGGCAAGTAATTAATTAATAAAATTCCCTCGCTATCCCAGAAAATGGTAGCCAATATGCTTCCATGTCGACTTTGAACACTTTGAACTTCTTTGGTGGCCTTTCTCTCTTTTTTATCCATTGTATCGACTCTTACGGACTCGGGATTGTATTGACGAATCCACATTTCATCGACGGTCACAATACGATTACAAATTTTATCCAAATCGGGCTGATACAAATCTAAAAAATCTCTACAGCTCTCTAACCGTCGCTGCTTGAGCGGTGTGAACAATCGCGGTACCCAGCGCGCACAATTTTTTTTTATATGTAAATGATTGTGCAAAATATTTCCAACCCGTGCTTATCTGTAACTCTTCAGCTATCTGCTACAATTTAATTCTACTTTCGGCTAGAACTAAATTTTCCACATTTTTGACGTTTTCTTCTGTCAAGACCGTTACAAGGCGACCCGGACGGGGATCGTCTTTATACGTCTCTCTGCCTTGTTCAAATAACCGAGCCCATTTCGTCATGAAGGTGCAGAAATCGTGTATGAAGGTGCAGAATACTGAAGAACTGATGACATCTCTTCAAAAATTTCTTTGGGTGTTTTTCCTTTTTTAACGAGGAACTTAACCACGGCGCAATGCTCCAAATTGCGCGAATTTTCAGTTTCTATTGACATGGTTTTGTTGCTTGTTTCATAGGTAAAGTACTTATGAACAAAAATGAAAAATACTCTCTATGTATACTAACAATGATTCCCTCTATCAGTTGGAATCATTAGCGAGATGATTAGTCATCGTTAAGTACCTTAGGCCGCGAACTTATCAGCCGCCCCTCGTATATTGTCGACTCGAAATCATTATTTTTTTATGTTTTGTTATTCACATAAGGTTTCGTTCGAGTCTACCGTACCCCTTGACGAAATTATTAATATATAAGATGAATCATTGAATGTAAATCAATTAGTGTGCCAAAAAAAGACTTATGTTCTATATCACTTAAATATACAATGACAATCATTATCTATACATATAAATAAAATTGGAGTGTCTGTTTATATTATTGAAATAATTGTTTTTTACTACTTGCTATAACTATACTTGTATATAAATACGGTGCGTACAACAAAATAATATTTCTTACAATTTTTGCCTGTCTGCTTGTTCTGGATCTGAAATAGCTGGATTGATTTTGACGAAACTTATAATGCAGAAAGCTGATGTAATAAACAGTATCTTAGGCTACTTTTATTTTAGAAAATTCTCTAAACCTTTTTATGTTAAATTCCACGAAGACGAGATCACGGGTACAGCTGGTTTATGTTTGTTAATATTATAGCTTCTTTTTTTATTTTTCTACAACACATTTTTAACATATATTTATTACATACTTTGTAATAAATATATGTTAAAAATATGTGTTGTAGAAAATTCTCTTCAATAGTAAGTACAATTGTCTTCGATGAGATACCTCTGAGATACTGTGGTGATGTTTGTATATTTGAAATATAATTAGATTAAAACTACTAATGTTACGCTGTACTTCCACCCTCCTGTCATGTGGCCAAGGCTTAGTGTCTTACCTCTATACATTTAAACTTTTAATAATTACAGGTGAACCCAAGTCGAGTTCGTCAGATCTATTGCCAGAAGAAAATCAAGATGACCTACCTAAATCCGATGTAAAGAAATCTAAGGAATCTCATAAAAATAAAGAGGGCAAAGGAAAGAAAAAACGTAAGGGTCATCATCGACACGGCAAACATTCCAAAAATCATAAAAAAGATTCACACAAACACAGTCGTAATGAATCTACAAAAACAAAACGCGGTAGAAAGCATAATAAAAATAAAGACAAAGAAAGCAAGAAATCAAAACAAAAGAAGAAAAAGAATAAACACCATGACTCGCCAGATTCTAAAGATGTTATTAAAAGAGCAGCCTCTCAAGAGTCTTTAGAAAGTTCAAACAGAAGCAGAAGCGCGAGTCCTTTGCCATCTATACACACACCAACTCCATCACCCACTGAGCTTGACCAAACTGAACAATGTGATCAGTTATCCGACCCTGATTTCTTTAAGGATAAATATGATAAAATTAAAGAACGTAGACGACATGCAGCTAAAGAAGCTTGGGAATCATTGTTTGATTATAAACAAAAGGCAGTTGATAAACAAAATTTACATATACCTGAAAAAGATAAAAATAAAAAATTAAGGGAAACAATCGAAAAACTGAAAGCGAAAAGTGAAAGATATAAAGACACTTCGCTGTTTAACAGTTTATTTAGTGCTAGCCACAGTAATGATAAAACAGATGATATTGAAAAGGGTTCACAAAATAACGAGGCGGCCGAAGCTGACTTTTCCGATGACGATGCTGGTGATTATCAGAAAGGAAAATCTAGTAATAAAAAAGGTTCTAAAAAGAATACAGCAAAAAATGAATCGGCATCTGAAGCATTAGAGCAAGCTGTAAAAGATATTAGTAAATGGTTAGATGATGCTCCTAAAAGTTCTGCATTGAGCTCTCCCTGTGACAGCCCTGCCCAAACTATTTCTACTGAAGAACATGACAACAGTCGTTTAGATGATGAATGTTCTCAAGGAGAAAAAACTTTAATTAGGAAAGAAACATCACGTAAACGGCCTTCCTCTCGTGAACCAAAAATTGTAAAAAGAAGAGAGATCCAAAGGACCATAGATAGATTGCAACCTGGAAAAGGCAAAGGAAATCTATTGACTAATCTTAGCAACAAAAATGTTGAAAAATCTGAAGAAGTTACACCAGTTGGTCCACTTAATAAAATCCGCGATGTGAACAAAGCGGATGAATGTAGTCCCAAATTAAGTCTTGGCTCAGTGTTACCAACAGTGGAATTTGCTATTGGAAATGACCATAATTTCAGTAATACTGATGATAATAAGAGTGAAGACCAAAAAGATGTTTCTAAAGTGCCAGAAATAGATACAAATAATAAAGATGAGGAAAAACCAATTGAAAAGAAAGTAGAAGAAGAAATTCAAACCAATAAAAAGGATGCTGAAGTAGAAACTGAACCTACTTCAATGACTAAGCCAAGTCAAGAAAAAGCTACACCAAATCTAAGTGCTTGGTTTAAGGCATTTGGAGCACCAAAAAACACAAATTCATCAGTTGCAGTTAAAAAGAAAACGGATGATACCGATTTTGATGAAAAAGCAGTCGAAAATACTAACGATAACAAATCATCCAGTCCTAAAAATACAACTAAATATGATTCACCAACTGATCCAGATACTCCTAACCCTGATGGTGGAGACAGTCCACTTCCCAATGTCACAACAACCCCTAGGCAAAGAAGAACTAGTACCGGGAGTTCTGTGTCTGAGAGATCGTCTTTTAGCCAAGATCTGGATTCACCAAGACATCAAATGTCTCACACGTCGCCTTTGCTACGATCACCAGCCTCTCCAAGAACGGACGAATTTCAAAAGATAACGTATCCGATTATAAATGGTACTGTACGCGCTGGATTCTATCAAGATACCACATCTATTAAAAGTAGCCCTGAAAAGAGTTGTAGTCCACGTGAGGCTCCTCAATCACCTTATTCTCCATATTCACAACATGTTTATGCATCTAACAGTGTTTTAGGGTCTTCAACACCCAATTACTTTGTAGATCATAATAAAAGCCCATTGCCTACATATAGTAATAATCCACCGCCTTATTATGACTCTTCGAAGGCCCCAATTGTCAATAAACCTAATCGTACGCAAAATGATTACACTGCTTTGGAACCTGAGTCTTATCAACAAACTCCATATAGTGGGCCATTTTCCCCATCCCAGACATCATATCAACAGCCTCAATCATCAAATTACTCTCAGTCACAAACTTCACCACAGTTGAGTGCAAATCAAAGTAGTATAAACACGTCACAGTTGGTTCCAGATACGAAAACGTCTTTATTCCCTGTTAAGAAGCGAACATATAATGAGCCAGAGATACTCACTGGGTCTAACAAAAAAGCCCCTGAAACTAAAGACAAACTCAGTGGAACTTCACAAAATAAGAATGACTATCAGAAAATTTCTCAATCTTTTCATTCAATATCATCAGCTACATCTGTTGATGATATAGCTTTAGCATTAAGCGAAAAATCTGAAATGGCCAAGTTGAATACTTTACGTGAAAAGAATGCAGGTGATTATGTGGAGAGAAGAGATCATCGTGATAATATAACATTTGACAGTAGTGAAATTATGCAAGACAGTAAAAAAGAACAAAGCATGGACCCTAATAAACCTATCAACATTACTAAAAAAGATAATGTTGATATGGTAAATATGGGCTACATGAACCCAGAAGCCGACAGACGTAACAGTGGAGAAATGGACTATGCTTTACCTAGAGATGTTGCAAAATCAGTCACAAATCCACAACAGAAAGGATTCGAAGTTGAAGCTATTGCCATAAATCTTGGTTTAAATAACCAACAATTACAAAAACCTATGTCAAACATGAATATAAATATTAATAATATACCGCCTGCACACTTACAAGATCGATCACATAATGATATTATAATTAATCAAAACATTGCCCATTCTCATCATAATCAGTATGAAGTTATTTCTAGTGGATCATCCATAAGCAATTTTTCTTTGAGTGACATAGAATTAGCGAATAAGAAACTTTATGTATGTAACCCCAACTCTTCCACAGCTGCTCTCAATTATGGTAATTGGAAAATGAATAGTCAAATTCGGAAACAAGAACTTTTACCTTCCGACTACTCCACTAATTACAATACGAATAATGCCGACAAACTAAAAACTGACAGTACAGTAAATTCCAATGTAATTCAATATAATAAAAACTTACAACATCAACAATACAATAATTATAATGCTCCTAGAACAAGTATTCAGAGAGCACAAGAATTGCAACATAATATTCCAGCAGAATTAAGAATACCAAACCCCAGAGGTCTTCTTAAAAATGATCATATGAATATAACTTCCTCTATAAGTGATAATGAATTAATTGCCAAAAATATTGATAGTCTTGCCAAATCCCACAAGCCCGAAAAACTTGTACAAAATCACGCATTAGTAACTTCTATTCCCTATAAACCGCCATACAGTGCTCATTCTTCCCTTCCTCTGGATAGTCTTCGTAATTTACCCAAAATTCCCCAAATGATAGACCGCTATAATGAACAAAGGTATTTGTCAAGTTTTACTGGCAGCACTTCATCTTTATATCATGAGAAAACTTTTCAAATGGCACAAATGTTCAATAAAAGTATACCTTCAGATGTTCATGCTGCTAGTACTGGAACTGGAAGTATTTACTCACAACCATCTGCATCTATAAGCAAAGACAGTGTTTACAAAACTCCGAGTTCCGCATTATCTGATTCTAAAGCAAAAAACAAGAGGAAGAGAACATCGGAAAGTAAACAAGGACAGATATCGGGCAGTCAAGCTTATCATAGCTCAGCTTGCAACAGTGAAGTTTTGTCTTCCGTTAAAACAAGCATGATGCCAGGAAGCGCATTTAATTTTTCAACTTCCACAAATATGGCTTTGGGTAGTGGACTTTATGCAGACAATAGTGGTTTTTCCATAGAAGATTTTCGAAACTCTAACCTTATGGCTGCTACAAATTACATGGCTGCAGTTGCGCATCAACAACGTAATAATACTGATGCTAATAATGAAAAATTGGTCAAACCAGCACATCAAAATACTAGTCATACAACTAGTTCTTTCCCCTTCATAAGCCATTCACAAGTGAGAGCTGGTTATCCATATGTAGGAGCTGATCCGTCATCTCCTCTATATCAGCAATACCTGCAAAGGCACCAAGAAGAACTTTTAAGGCAAAGTGGTGCACAAATCATGAGTTTGTATCCGCCAGGTTACCCGGCTAGTATCAGTGTAAGACAACCATACGATACCATTAATCGTCCGTCGTGGCTCTAAATACGTGTTTATTAGAAATACATCACTATATGAAACTTTATTATAATTATTAATGTGACAATTGTTATAGAAAATTGTAATTTATATTGTTTGTAGATTTCAAATAGCATTTTTGAGAAAAGATATATATTATTTATATTTATATGTGCAAGAATTATTTTTAAACATGACAATCTTTTACAATTTTTTGTAAACTGCCTTATGCTTTTTATTATTGTTAATTATTAATGACAATGTAAAACTTTTGAATGTTTTGTAATACTATTTAAATTAACTTAATTTGTTTCTAAGTTGTTCTCTAGTATTGTGTTAAGTATCACGAACAAAATCAAGTGTTTTTATCATCACAAAATCCAGTTTGTTTCATATATATAATTATGTTACAAGTAGCTAAGTATTAAAACAGTCTCAAGTTACAATTTCCAGTTTTAGATGCAATATCGCTTATATAAATAAGTAGGTAATTATAAATTATTTAATTTATCCCTTTTCCGATAAAACGTAATTAAGCTTTTCTGATTAATTTACTCAATTTATATCATTTTAAGGTCACATGAAAGCATAATTGTTATAAAATAATTTTAAAGTTTTATATTATACTACTTAATTTAGTTTGTTGTGTAAATATTTCCCTATTTTGTTTACGGTCTATATTTTGTTAGCATTTTAAATATAATTTAATAAAATAATATTAATATTTTAATTTTATGATAAATATTGATCAATGTAGTAGTAAGAAGTTCATATAAAAGATAAATAATTCTTCATGTGTAAAAATGAAAATAAAGATTTTCAAAATAATAATCTTATTTATTTTTACAGTATATTTGATGAATGTCACTTATTACACTACTATGGTTTTCTTACATACTATATATAAATTAACGTGAATTAGAGCTAACGAAATAAAAAATAATATTATGTCTCTCCACACGTTGCCGCAAGAGCAACTATTTTTCATATCCCAAAGTAATCTGTGCATCCCTGAAATTTTATTTTTTTTCTAATTTGGCAGTAAAATACATACAACCCTAAATTTTCATCCTTTTGTCATCAACCCATATTTTTAAATAGCGATTTTATTTATATGGCAAAACGTTAGTAGGGCGAGCTAGTAATTAAAAAAAAATACAATAATCATATATATGGGCATGGACGTACCAGGCTACATATTGTAAGGAATATCGGAAAATTGTATGTATGAATGTCTTGCAACATATTTGCCTAAATAAGCTATCTTGCCCCTACCATCTCAAGGCCGCTCGGTGGCTGGATACGCATATGACGGTGGTTCTGTACATCGATAAACAGCAGCGTATAATATTTTTTTGCAAACTATTTAAACCCACCAGTTCCTAGCACAATTTATGCAAATAGACTGTACAAAACCATCCACATCTGTCTCGCCTACTAGTATTTCTGCTGTCAGTATTGTTCTATTCTATTGTAAGCTGTGTATGGTTTGAAGAGTGAGATCTTAGGCCTCCGGAATAGTTACCAGGCACCAATGCATGAGGTATTGGAGGTGTCACCTGATGGTGTGATGTCCGTAGTGCAGTTTATGTATATAAGCTTCCCTTTATATGGGGCACTTTGCCCCTTATGAACATTTACACAAGGATAGGATTAATATTAAAAGGTAAACTATTAAGTTCTAAAAAGGATACCATCTTTGTAGATTAATATTCCTTACCTAGTTATTATTAATTATATTATATTTTGACTGACAGAGTGAAGGTTGCTTAGGAATTAAATGCTGTGATTTCCAGGATTTCTCTAAATGCAACAGCGATGTGGGAGGGGTCAAATGAAATTTGTTTGATATTTTTTATGGATCATCCCTTATAGATTCCAAGAAAATAAATAGTGTGCCCTAGATTATTTTGGTAGATCGTTACTAGTGTTTCCACAAAATTGGTCAGAAATAAAAGCTGATTGCAACTTTTTTGTGATATTGGTTTTGTCAAGATATTTTAAAATAGGAAAAATAGACATACATAAATTACAAAATAATGATAGTAAAATAATATAGAGCAATAGTAATTAAATATTAATGAAATTTATTTTGTATAATATACACAATTTAGTAGATTCAGTGGAATATTTCAGAGATTAGTTAACAAACTACATTTTGTAATGGGTATTAACCATAACAAACCATTCTATATGTATTCTTATAACAATTACTATAAACTACACAGCATCACTCAATATTGCCCATAATAATAGTGTTAACAATATATAATTGTATGTAAGTTCTTAATTGTATGATTCTTTTCAGTTCAATCCTATTTTTTTCTGTATGTTCACTGTCTCTGTGCCTCAATATAATCAGTGGTGTGGTATAGCTTATAGTTTAAATAATATGGGCATAATTAACAGCATTACCAGTATGTTTTAACAATTAAAGTATATAGTAAACATCATAATAAATACTAATACTGATGTAATGCCGAATTAACGTCTATATTATTGCTATAAGTTAGAAACATTAATAAAGTAATATTATTTAACAGAATTTATTATCTCATCATTATCCATCTTGGTGTAAGAAGCATTACAAGTATTATGAATTATTTAATTCGTTTTTTCACTTTGCTCTTTCCTTTGTTGAACCATTTCTCTAATGTTATCTTCGCTTTCTTTTAGGTTCTTTTCTAAATACTGCTTGTTTTTTTCAAAATCACTGGCACGTGTTGTTAACTGTGTATCTCGGGTTTTAAGATTACTTTTAACCTCTTCTAAATCCGTAAGAAGGAACATCCTACCTACTGATTCATAAGTTTTTGTTCCAGGTGGATAGCCACTGATGGCACGTTGAGTAATGTCTGCATGATGCATACACCGTTTAAGCACTTCTATTTGTGAATCAATAAATTGAATTTTCTTCCTTGTTTCGACCATTTTGATTTGCAAATCATTGAAAGCTTTTTTTAATTCCAGATCCACAGGTTTAGCCATAATAGTAATAAAATATTTCTGTCGTATAATTGTGGACTGGATGGTGCGAAAGATTTTTTTTATTTAATGTACAGTCAGTAGTATAAGATATATAATACTCTGTGCCTACTTGAGGCACAGAGCACAGATCAGTGTGCTTTCTGCAACTTCTACGACTAGGTCATTTACTGTCAAATTGATGTCAAATATTTAAGTTAGTGCACATAGTATTTTTTAGATATTCTCATTTCCAATTACAAAACATATCTTTATTTGTATTTGTTCTATTATAAAATAACAAACATTGCTTATATTGTATACCTATATATTGTCTAATCTTGAATTAAATAGTAATTCATAAGTTAGAAAAGAGTTTTGGGGTTATTTCGAACTTTTCTTCAATTAAAGAATGCCTAAAAATAATAAATATTTATATTATAGTAGGTATTTCTGTTATTTGTTAGTATTACGTGTTATTGCCTGTCCAATATACATTCATTTTATATATCATTAGGTTATTCTTTTTTCTTTAATGGCAACTTCATTCAAATATTGTTTAGTATGCCTAGTGTTTCAATATATTTTATTACATTCCTGGAACGATCAGTGACATAAATAATTACTAAAGTAGCATGAGAGCAATAGTTGAAATATTTATTCAATTTATATATTTAGGGACTTCTCAAAATATTTTATCCACAAAGTTTGATCTTTAATACAATTAATTCATGATGAATTACAATAAAAAAGTACATGACAATTATACTTAACAACTGTTTAAATTTTCATTAAAAGTGAATACTCGACTTTATGTTAATTTTACTATACCTCTCATATAGTACTAGCTTTATGCTGCGTCTACACAATTTCGTTATTCATTTTTTTTTAAAGTTTCTGTCCTTCGCGTCATTTGTCGATATATTTTTTCTCTCTTTCACATCTCCAACGACTGACTCTTTCTCTAGTGTCTTGAGTCTTAAATTGAATGTGTGAATGTGACATGGCGTCTATCAAGATATAATACGGCCTCATATAAAACTGTTTTAATAACAGTGGTTTCATTAGGAATTTTATTACTGAGGCCGTAATAAATCGTATATTTGCATTGATGGTAATGCATGCAAGGAAACCTCAGAGAATAAGCGATGGGTATGATATGGTTTCAGATGCTTCGGCTTTACAATCTGTAGATGGCGGTCGCCGATTGAAGTTTGTTGTAATTTAAGTGGAGATATTAAATTATTCTATTTGTTTTCAGGTACTTTGAGAAGCACCAAGCCCATCCGTATCAGGTAAACATGATTTTAAGCGTTTGTGTAATGGTAACAATTTGTTTTTCTATTTTGTGTTATTTGGCTTGTAATTTAACTCTGATTTAGGTACTTCTCGACGTAATAAACTGTGTTCGTCAACCCTTTTCCTGTTTTTATCGTTTAGGTTCCAACTGCATTCTGTGTTTCCTTATGTTTGTTAAACTTATTTACTCCACTTGAAGTGCAAATGGTAATCTAATTAAACAGAAGAAAATATTTTTTTAAAGTATAATATAGTTTGCATTATGTTTATATTATATAGTAATCTGTGATAAAAAATAATAAATATTCATGTAATAACGGAGTATCATATGTTACAATAATAATTTGATGTAGATTATAACCTGAATTGTACACAGTGTTGTGTAGTGAAACTAAAAGTAGATACATAAAAATTATAGCATATTTCATAATAAATTTGTACTATATATTTGGAATGATGTTCTATGAACTACAATCTTAGTATATTATTATGTTGAATGAAAATATACTATGTTAGGAATCTAATCTAAAGATATGTTAGCTAGTGAAAATATTCATGGTGTATATTAATTGCTATGTATAATTATAGTTGTGTGTTGTAATCTGTTATGACAAATAAATAATTTAATTTCAGAAATATAATTCGAAAAGAGCTGCCAGTGAGTATGTCAGTTCTGAGAACCGGTATATACCACTGCGGTCTCCAAACGGCAATGTGTCGCATGGTCACAGCACACACACAAGCCACTCTGGACATGGGCATCACCATTATGGGCATATGGTTGATGAAAGAGGATATGCAACATCTAGAAGTTCTTACTTGCCGAAAACTTCTGAAAAGGAGAGAGATAGAGACTACAAATCCTCTAGGAATAAGTACACAGGTAAAAATGATACTTTATTAAGACATTTTGATACCTTGATATAGAATTAATTGATCACATATTTCCACTGTATGACTTGTGTATATAAAAAAAAAGGCAATATAACTTGTGTAGGGATTTTAATTGTCTAATTAAAATACTACACAATTTGTGACAACTAATTATGTCTATAATTTGTTAGATTGTTACCTTAAAAATCTTATATTATAATATGTGTTTCTGTCTATTTACTATCAGTTTGTAATAAATGGCTGATATACAGATGTTTCCGAAATTGTAAATAAAGATAGATTATATTACAAGGATAGGTTAAATTTTATCTAAATAAATAACTTGAAAGAGGATGAAATAGGAGTTTGTGCAGATAAAGTTGTGGGGAAGAGTGATATACCATAAAATTGAGTTTTAATACAATTTAATGTGTTTTAAGTTAATGCACAGTACTGTATACATTCATTTGTTTCTTGTATATATGTAACAGTATTGTGCAGTGTATATATATATATATAAATGCATTTGCTTGTGGACAACTTTGTTAGTTTATGGTACTATTGTAATTTAAATATTACTATATACTACTACTACTTATACAGTATAAGTATATAATAAATACTCTTTCTCTATGTGTACATTATAAAAAAAAATTTACATCTGTATATTATAATATAATTAAATTTTAATATTTGTATTATATTAATTTATTTATGCTATAATAATATAATATTCAATTAGTATGTAAAGCTTTTGCAGCTGAAGCGAACAATGCAGAGTTGCCTTCAAGCGAATGAGTAGAATTTAAAATTGCATAGAAAAAGGTTAAAAAATTTCTTACTCATAAAAATTTTTATACACAGTGGTTGAATAACATTATTTTATTCACACACTGTATATATATATTTTTAAGTTATTCTCTCTGTCTGTAGTATATCATAACTACATTGCTCCAATTAGAACATTAACATTTTCTTAAAATTATTCCAGATAGTGTCAGGTCACCGAAGGAAAAACGTAACAATAGTGAAAGAGAGCGAAGTAATCATGAACGAAGTGAATCAGAGAAAAAGAGTAGGACTAGTGGCATGAACATTAGTGTTAATAGGAGTAGTAAATATGACAAGAGAACTGCACCTTCACCAAGCGTGCCCTCGAGCAGTGAATGGTCAGAACACATTAGTTCATCTGGTAAAAGGTATTATTATAACTGTATCAGTGAAGTGTCACAGTGGGAAAAACCTAGGGAATGGGACTCACGAAGAACTTCATCCAAAGATTCAACATATTCATCAAGAAGCAGTGAGTAATTTATGTTTTTCTATTTGATTTAGATATTTTATTATTAATAATATTATTCATATCATGAAAGTGTATATTTTGTGAAAAGTATGTGCATTAATAACAAATGCAATTATTATTTAACCGAACTTATCATGACATGATGATGGCATATACAGATCAGTAAGGAATATAATCTTAACAGACAAATTAACTATTATTTTATTCTACAATTCCTGCTCCAATAAGGTGGTAATACAGGGGCCAGAATTAAAATATATTGATACACAAATAAAAAAAAAGGTTCCTTAATTACATTGGCAAATAATTGTGGTGTATTAACCAGTACACACATACCCATACAGTATATGTACAGTAGACTTGGCTATGCCCTATCATATTAAAATCCAAAGGACATATTGCATTTAAAAAATATACATAACAAAAAACTCCAAATATGACTAAAAAAATTACATATAAAATGATAAATATACTGATATATGTCAAATTCGTTTTTATTTATGCTTGCAAAATTTTGCCTTTTATTTATAATATTTATCTACACACCATCCTATGTATATCTTTGTGGGACCTTAGTGGAGGATGATAAGATGAACTTAGACCAGATATCCCATTGATATAAATTCACAATTTTATTTGTTCCCTTTTTATCCATAATCAGAAACAGTGTTATAATTGGATTTGTTGCTACATGGCAATGCAAGTCTATGGTTCAATATGTTACAACATAGTAGTGCAGTACTTCTTTCTTAACAAGGCAATTTTTAGAATTTAAGCCTTTGAGAGCCAGTATCATAGTATCCCTTTTGGGTGTTTTAGAGGATTCTTATTCTTAGTCTGTAACCACTAGTCTAGTAGGTCTAATTCATTTTGTTGGAAACTGAGCAGAACCTTGTATTTTGAGCTTGTACTGGTAAGCTCTTAAGCTGGTAGGTAAATTTGTGAAATGATGGATTTCCCAATTGATTATAAACCATTAACAATTCAAGAAATTAACTAAGTAGTTTTAAGCACTTTAAGCTTACCCCCACATATTCTTCTGTATCATATATAAGAGACAAAGAGAGGAACTTCTTATTATTCAATGTCTTCACAGTGTGGTGCTTGCTGGTCCATTGTATGGCAGAGGGGGAAATAGTTCCTAGAATTTGAACCAGATGTAGATTTGGGGCCTTTGTTGATGTACATCAACACTCACCTTCACTGCTTGTGTTACTCTCCATGCCCAGCCAACCATAGGTTCTAGTATATAATTTGCTGTAGTTAGAGAGAGAGACATAATCACACAGCTATTTTTAGTTAATTGGTGTTACATGGTGCTTCATTATGTTTAGTTATATTCGAAAACAGGAAAATATCCAGTCTGGATAAAATAAATACATAATCTAAAATTCTAAATATTTTTTCCATATGTTACCATTCAAATTGTCAATTGGGGCACAATACATAGGATTGGTTCTTTTATAAAGTTTATTTGTTTTTTGTTTGTAGTCAATCCTTTTTGGACTCTAGCTGCTCAAAGACTAAGTACTCTGTCATGGTGATGTGAGTAATTATCCTAATTTTCAGCCTCAGCAGTAATATAGCAAAATTTTTCAGAGACTTTATTCCCATCTTACTAAATTAGTTTGGTCTTAGTTTTGGAAGGTTAAGATAATATTCTATCTTAACCTTCCAAAACTAAGACCAAAGTAAGTAAACTAAGTAAAGTAGTAAGTAAGGCAGAAAAACAATCATTTATCAAGGTACACCACTTCAAGGCTAATGGTATGCAGAACTCACCTATAGTGAACCATTGGTTTTGCATTTTTAAGTGCACTTTATCTGTAATTTTCTTGTTGTAGAAAAGAACTATATAACTATGTCTCGGTCATCCATTTTCTTACTCTCACTCAACTCTTAGTTTTTGTTACTGCTAGAAACTGTTTATTTATTAATAAAATATAAATAAAAATTGTCTCCTTGGTCACGGCACTGATGACAGCAATCTGCCACGGTAGCGCCGATACACCACCCCTTCGACTAGTATTCCTACTTTATGAGTATATATATATATATATATATAGCAGGTCGGTGTAGATCCGGGGCACAAACACCTTGAAACTCGCGTTGTGACTCAACACCAGCTGAAAGATTAAGTTTACCCTCAATATCAGGTTCTGGTTCATAGGTAGTTGATTGGTCCTTTTTGTGTGCCTCTTCATCTGTACCATGATGAAGCCATCATCGTCAAGATCACCAGTTTTACCATACGTAGAAGCCATGTTCGATGCCATCTTTGGCACACGCTGCCCTGACATTGGTTTACTATTACTAGCACCGATTACGACCGATTCGTTTACTAGCGTTAATGGGAATTGATGTTGTGATCATTTTGGCGGCGTTTTTGTACTTTGGGAGTGATGTGACTAAAGGATTCTGGGATTTTTCTATGACATGTATCTTGTTAACTCTAAGGTGTTTATAAAGTTCTGATGGTTTTTTAATTTCATCCCAATGCTATTGTGATACCTAAATAGAGTTGTTATAATAAGCTGCAAGGCTATGAAAGTACCCATAGTAACAACTATTATTCAACAACTTTATATAGTATTATACTTTACATTCAATAATTAAAACCATATAATTTTTTCAATGAAAATGTGTTTAAAGTTATCATTTAAAAATACAATAGTGACAACAGACATAGCCCTAAAACCAGAGGTTTCGACGTCAAGATCTAATGGATACTAATGAAAATGGCTGCCTCCTTAATAGATTTTACACTCTAACTATTCCTATAGGAAACTTAGCCACATGATTTTATTAAAATAAGGACTTGTGTCACTAATCATATCAAGAACAGGTACTTGTATTATTAGTAAAAAGTGCCTCATTGAGATAATCTCTCAGGTGTAATTATCAAAGTGCTGAGAGTACCCTTACCCAATAATGAATAACTTTTGTTTCATAACTTCCACTAAAATGTAACATTTTAAATAGGAAAGAGATTTTAGTCTCACTATTACTAATAATGCAATTGTGTATCTGATTTCATTAATTTAAATGTTAATTCCTGGAAAATTCGTATGTATAGCATCAAATCAGGTAACTTGTTTCTCCTCTATCATCTTTCGGCGGTATTCCTCCTGCGGACCATGTTATCATTCGATATTCATCAAACAAGCCGTTAAAACGTCCCACTAAAAATAAACTAGCACCACTGCTTTTACGTTTAAGAATTGTAGTCATAGAATCCATACCTACTAGCTACTAAAATATAATAGAAGGTACACAATATAGAATTGGCCTTTGAAATTATATTTTATTTATATACCTACTTTTTTACATTTATTATTATTAGAGTCTAATGTTGTTAGAATTCATCGTTTGTTGATCCCATTTGTATGGAAAAATATTTAAAAAAATATATAAAGTACATATTTTGTATAACAGAATCTTAAATATCTGATGTTAGAATAATTTTATCAAACTTGTCTTCTCTGATATATATAATCAATTAGATTTATTTTCGTAATTTGTTACTTGATAGTGATGTAACACTTAAATGTCTTAAACTGACAAAATAAATCTTAGTTCTAAATAAATAAATAGTAATAAAAAATCTTTCCATGTATCTGATTTCGTGAATATAATATACATAGTTATTGTGTTCTGTATTATAGAGTTGCTTCGTTGTAATAATTAACATATGTTTATTTATTTTAAAAATCAATTGGCTTTCAGAAATAATATTATGTGGTATCATTACATTAGTTATTTTGGGTATATATGCTAGTGGCTTACCGATCCCTTTCTTACTGCCTAGTACTTAAAAACAAACATGATTATATCAAACTTCTAGAACATATATCTTACATCATAATTATAATTATATGTATCTATTGATATATTAACTTTTATAAACACAAATCACATCAATTAATTATAAATATATTGTGGTAGTTATCAAACTTCGAAACTAGATGGCGTTGCTGTCTCTGAAACCTGGTTTAGAGTGGAACGCTGGGGAACGGTTGTTGTTGACGCCAACATACATTAAACAATATGCACTTATATATTCATATAATTTATAAATATATGGTGATAATGATCAAGATAAATGAAGGGGAAGTTAATATTTTTGGGCACATATTTTTTAACTCCGTATTTGATTTTTCTATTTTTAGTCTTACTAAAAAAAAATCCAAATATAAATTTCATAGATTAAATTCAACAAAAGGATCGTTAATAGATGATGTTCTCAATTCAAATGTTGTGTCTGTATCTGTGATTGTTACTTAACCCCTTGACCAACAATTAAAGGACAACTGGACAATTGCTCTCATACTAATTTCGTCACAATTGATATCGTATTCCTTTTTGGAGAATAAAATATTATGTAAGTTTGTAATATATTTTCTGATAGGATATTTGTTGCTATAATGATTTAAGTACTACAAAAATATCCTGAATAAATTAAAAATACATTATTTAAGGTTACTTTTCTAATAAGATCACATAATGAAAATGAAAACATATTTAAGTTACATTAAAAAATAAAGTTTGTTAGTAAAGATATATAGGTAGGTATAGGTAGGTACCCTACAAATAGAATAGAAATAATAATTTTATGATAATATTATACATACACCTATATATCTTTCCTTCTATTTCCATAATATTCATCTTGACAACTCATTGAATCAAATTAATTTGATTCAATGAATTGTCAGGAAGGTTATTCTCTGTAATAAAATTTGACATAACCTTTTACCTGTTGTAGTATCTTCTATTTTACAACTTCTCTGCCAGTAATTATTATTAGAACATAAGGCATTTTATTTCTTTGAAATTTAAGGACTTTTGTACTAATATAAGTCATGGCCATGGTATCCGTTGTACCCTTAACATGATGCATGTTCAGGTAACTAAAAGTCAAAGTCCTAAGAAATCAGTTAGCTAGGTAGCACAAGTACCTAACATATGTAAAAATGTAGTTATACGATATAAAACATCAA